TACTATATATTAAAAAAACTTTAAAAAACTTTAAAAAGTTAAATTTAAAGAAAAATTTTATTATTTTATTAATTTCTTTTTACTATTATTAATATATTTAATTAAATTATTATTTAATATATATTTTTAATTAATTATATTTATTTTATATTAATAATATAATAAACTTTAATAATTTAATTATAAACCTTATACTTTTATTATTAAAAATAAATTTAATTAAACTATTATTATTATTATTAATAAATTTATTTATTTTATTTTTTAAAAATAAATAATAAAAGATTAATTTAATAACCTATTTTAATAATATTAATAAATAAATAATTATTAATTATAATTTTATAAATAAATTTTATATATTTTAAATTAAAATTAAAAGATTATTATAAATATTAAATTTTATAAATTAAATATATAAAATACTCTTTTAATTTAATAAAATAATAATTAATATTTTTAAATAAATAATAACTTATTATATTATATAATTAAAATTAAAGCTTTTATATATTTTATTAATTAATTAAATTAATTAATTTTAAATTAAAAATAATTAATATTAAATAATATAAATTTATTTATTTTAAATTAATATTTATTAATATTAACTATTATTATATTAATTAACTTTATTATACTTTAATATTTATTTATAAAATCTTTTTTATTTTATAATAATTTTTATTTTATTATTAATTATTTAATAATTATAACTATTTTTATAATATAAAGTTATAATTAATATTATTAATAAAATTATAATAAACTTATAAATAAAAATATTATTAAAAGTATTTATTAATTTTATTAAAATATTATTTAACTATATTAATAAAAATAAAATTACTATAAATATAATAAATAATAAATTAATTTTATTATATTTAAAGAAATCTTTTATAATTTTATTAAATATAAATTAAAAAAACTTTATAACTTATTATAAATACTATTATCTTTTATATTAATTTTATTAATAAAAATATACCTTTAAAAATACTTTATTTTATTTTATATATTATAATAATATTTATTAAATATTAATAATAATAATAATAATTTATAAAATAAAAATAAAAATTAATATTAATTAATATTAATTAAGGAAATAAAGATTAATATTAATTAATATTAATTAAAAATTAAAAAAGTTATAATATAGTTAATATTAATTAATATTAATTAAAAATAAAAAAAAATAAATTAATTAACTTTTAATTAAGTTTAAAATTATACTATTAAAATTAATAAATTAATTATTAAAAGTATTATAATAATTAATTTATAAATTAATATATTTATTATTTTTTATTTTAAATTAAAATATATTTAATTTTTAAATACTTTAAAAAATTTATTTTAATAAATATATAATATAAAATAAAGATTAATATAATATAATATTATTTAAAGTTTTTAAAATTAATTATTAAAATTTTAACTATTTATTAATTGAATATTTTTTAAATATTAAATTAATTATATTATTTTTATTTTAATTAAATTATATATATTTTAATATATTATTAATTTAATAAAAACTTAAAATTTATATAAAATATTTATATTTTAAAAATAATAATTAATTATTAAAAAAACTATATAAATAAAACTTTAAAATAATAATTAAAACTATTTTATAATTAATAAAAAATTATTTTATAGAATTAAATATTTTATAATAATTATTAAATACTCTATTTATTATTACTTTAATAATATTATTATATTAAATTATATAAAATATATAAATAATATAATATTATAATTTATTATTTAATTTATTAATAAAATAAATAAAAACTTAATTAAATAATCTTTTTAATTATTTACTCTTTATATTCCTTTTAAATATTAATAATCCTTTTATAAAACTTATAATATTTTATTATATTAAATTTTAATTATAATATTTTTAAATTATCTTTATAATATATTATTTATAATATTTTTAATTTATTTTAATATAACTTTTAATACCTTTATTATTTATAATTAATATTTTAATATTATTAATTATTCTTTTAATATAAATATAATTATTTTTATATTAATATATATATATATAATAAATTATTATATTATAAAATAAATTATTAAAAAAATTATATAAATAATTTAAATTTAAAACTTATATTTATAATATTTAATATTAATATTATTTATATAAATTTTAATAAAATAATAAATAAAATACTTTAATATTATTATATTAATTATTATATTTAAATTAATTAATTTTAAAGTTTTTTAAAGTTATTATTTTAAATTAAATATAATAATTAATTAAAATTATTAATTATAATTTATAAAATATTATACTTTTAAATATTATAAAGTTTATAATAAAATTAATTAATTATTAATATATTTTAATTTAAATAATAAAATAATTTTAAAATTTAACTATTTTAATTTAATAAAAGAGTTAAAAACTTTATTATTATTATTTTAAATTAACTTTAAGCTTTATTTATTTTAATAAAAGTTAAAAATAATTAATATTAAAAATATTAAATTAAATAGTTTTAATAAATAATTAAAATATAAAAATTAATATTAATTAATATTAAATTAAATTTTAAAATAAATAATAACTTTTAAAATAATAATAAATAAAAAATTAATACTAATTAATATTAATTAATTTTAAAATATATAATAATTTTTAAAATAAAATAATAATAAATAAAGTATTTCTTTTAATAAAGTTTATATTACTTAATATTAACTATTTTTTAATTTTTAATTAATAAACTTATTAAAATAAGTTATATATTAATAAATATATTTAACTTTAAATAAAATAAAAATTTTATTAAAAATTTAATTCTTTATCTTCTTTATAATAAATAAATAATATAAAAAACCTTTTATACTTTTTATTAATAAAATTTTATTCTTTTAACTTTTAATATAAACTTATAACTCTTTAAATTAATAATATTTAATAAATTAAACTTAAATTTATTTTATTACTTTTAAATAAAAATTATTTATTTTTATTTATAATTTTATAAAAAAATATTTATAATTTATAAATAAATTATAATAAATATATTAAATATTTACTTTTAAAAGTTTAAAAATTAAATTTTATTTTAATATTTAAAACTTTTAAAACTTATTAAAAATTTAATATTATAATAAAAATAATTAAATTACTATTTATATTTAAAAATTATTAAATTAAAGTTTAATATTTTTAAATAAAATAAAAATATAAAACTTTAATTATTAATTAAATTATTAATATTATTTAATTAATTAAACTTAACCTTTTTTAATTTTTATTTAGAATTTCTACCTAATAATATTTCTACTTTTAATTATAATATCTTTTAAATTATTATTTAATATTAAACTTTTTAATAATCTTTTAAAAATATTTTAAAATTTATAATTTATAATTAATAATAATTAACTTTAATTCTTTAATTATTTAATTAATTTAATATTAATTAATATAATTTAATAAAATTTAATTTTTAATAACTTTAAATTAATAATATAAATAATCTTTAAAAATAATAAAAAAAAATAAAAAATAAAAATTTTAAAAAAATTATAAAAAGAAGGTAGATATTTATATTCTTTAATAATAGATTCTATTAAATAATTATTTATTTTCTTATTACCTTTACCTTTTTAGGTATAATCTTAATAGCTTTAACCCTAACCTACTAACCCTACTCCCCTCCCCCCCCCCTACCCCTATAGGGTGATTAGGGGTGACGGTAGGGGTGTGGGTGACGGGTCACCTGTGCGCCAAGGCCTGAGATAAGTACGACTATTAGGTAAGACTGGTTGGTATAATATAGCATTAGGTAGGAGAGGGAGGGGAGAGACTGACGGTGACGTTGAAATGAATCAGGGTTGTGGGGACCCAAAAAGCTTGTCCTTCTGCAAAGGTGGGTTCCTGCCATTTCCAAGGTTTGTCCCTGGCACTAACACGTGGAACGGCGTGCCAAGTGACGGAAAGCAACCCCAGCGACTGCAACTCAGATGGAGGCGATCGCGAGCCCGAGCTGATTACTGGACTTGGTGGAGATCAACACTGCTATGTGCAGAGTCCAGCAGGTGGGAATAATGGTGGAACCGAGCCATATTAAGTTGAAAATCAAATCTCGATGAGTCGAGCAGGATTCACGGTCTGGAGTCGCGGGCTTCCAACGTTAAGCGAGACTGGGGCAGGTCTATCAACCAGAGGTCCGGGACCATCTATGTAGGTGCTGTGATGGTCGAGCTCCCAGCGTCCTATCCCCAAACAGGCTGTTCTTGCCGGCCTGTCCATGTCCACTGCCCTGAAAGAGGCCAATTGGAGCTTATAACAAGGTACCATCGAGGCTATAGACTAGCCCACCCGCACAGCAAGAGGGGCAGGCAGTTCACTCACGAGTCACTGCCTCCCAGGTGTGGGGGAACGATCCCGATTGCGAGGTTTAAGCTCTTAGCAATCCTCCATGGCTTCTAGAACATCCCCACATCTTTGCTCCATACCATGGTATGCACTCAAACCTCCAGATGTTGTCGATGACGAATACTTCCCAGGCCCAGGGAGCGGAATTCCCTATACAGCGGTAATGGGAACTACTAAGGTCACCGGAAAGTGATGGCAGTCCAATATAGGCTAGTCCTACGCGTATGTCCTCCTGCAGGAAGGAATCGGACACCACCAGTCGCTTACACGATAGGCTTGCCAGGCATGACAGCGATATGGCGCGAAGGATCCAATACCACGTCCAACTACAAAATTTTTGGATGCGGCATATAGTCACTCCCCACTAGTATCTTCCTTCTCGTCAATGATTCCAAGAGCAAACAGCTATAAAGAGCCTGTGTTTTACCGCTCTTGCGGGAGTGGCTTCCCACAAAACATCAGGTGTTCGCCTCCTTCCAACACTAGCACTTGGTCCAGCTTCAACAGCGGCGAGCCCTCCGGATCTCGACACCACAGACATTGGTCCATACGAGAATAAGCACTACCAGTAGCCAACATGAAGCTGGCTCACGTCCTCGCCCTGACCGGTCAGGTCTTTCTTGCCGTGCGTGCAGTCGTCTCTTTTCCAGCCCCAACCAATATCAACGTCGCCTAGGCCCTTGTTGACCACTAATCTCCCTGATCAGGCTGCCCAAAACAATGGAACGAATGTGACCACGCTGCCCTTGAGCACTGACTCCGAGTTTTCATATATCCTGTCGGTCGTCCTGGCGCTGTCAAACAACCTCGGCTCCAACACGGGTGAAGTACTCCGTGCTGCCTCTCAGATCACACCCGGGGATTTCGAGAGCTGGTACTCCCAGTTCAACTACCTCGCAGGGCAGATCGAGGCCCAAGGCGACAGCACCACCTCTCCGATCGGCCAGCTAGAGTCGTATTTTCACGCATCGTCATATTATCGGACGTCACCATTCTTCCTCATTGGTAACACTACCGATCCACGGCTCCTCAGCGCATGGGACAGCCAGTTGAGCAACTTCGCCAAGGCCATCGAGCTGCTCCCGTTCCCCGGCGAGAAGCTCACCATCCAAGGCCCGGGCTTCACCATCCCGGCCTACTTCTACCCGGCCGACACGTATTGCTCCCCGTCAAAGAAAGCCAAGCGCGCCTGTGTTGACTCGGCCAAACGCCCAACCATCGTCGCCGTAAGCGGTTACGACGGCAGCCAGGAGGACCTATACCACGGAATCGGCCGCCAGGCCACCTCCCGGGGTTACAACTTCATCTCCTATGAGGGCCCAGGCCAGCCCACCGTGCGCCGCGAGCAAGGCCTCGGGTTCATCCCGAACTGGGACGCAGTGGTGTCGCCTGTGGTCGACTACCTGCACACGCGCGACGACGTCGACACGGACAAGCTGATCCTCCACGGCCACTCCTTCGGCGCCATCCTCGCGGTGCGCGCCGCCGCGGTCCTGCAGGGGCGCTTCGCGGGAGTCACCCTGGTTGACGGGCTGTACAACCTGCAGCAGGTCCTTCGGGAGCTGTTCCCCGCGCAGCTGATCCAGCTTTACGACGCGCGCAACGAGAGTGCCTTCAACGCTTACACGCAGGCTATCTATGACAGCGGGCTGGCGCCCACGAGCTTCAAGTGGGTTGTGAACCAGGGCCGCTGGGCTTTCAACACCAAGTCTTACTTCAACTGGTTTGATCAGCTGGGCAACTACACCATCGGCGGGTTCGCGCAGAACCTGACGGTCCCTGTATTCGTGGCTGGTGCCGACCATGATACTGCCGGTCTAGAACAGGCGCCCGCCGCGGCGGAGATGATTGGGGTCGAGGCGACGTTCCATCTGTTCCAGTCCAACACTGGTGCTGGAGAGCATTGCCAGATAGGTGCAGAGAGCCAGCTTGGGCTGACTCTGTATGACTGGGTTGCTAAGGTGGTGGGCTAGTAGTAGCTTGGTGGCTATACTGGTTCTGACTGTTGGCACACAGAGTCAAAACGACCAAGAGTCTACCTGATAGCATAGTTGATTAGAGCATGCACTGAGAATACAAAACTAGAAAGAAACAACATCAAATAAGGCGCTCACTCTTAAGTGCTAGCTCATTTTTACTTCTCTGTAAGGTTCATATGTCATGAAATCAGCTAGACAGCCCGATTGGTACGATCATTGGAACGCTGAACAACCATGACTATAGGCCATGGAATGGACTATAAAAGTTCTATGCTGGAAAAATAGCACGAAACTTTTACCATCTTTCCTGAATACCAAGGACCGGGTCACAACACAAGGTGTGTCCTTTCGATTGGCAGTTGAGTAATTACTAGTATGCAGGGAAATGGCGAACGAGGTATTCATTACCTGAGTAAGCATACCTAGATACAAGTCATTCAAGATCTGGAAAGGTTACAATTCTCAAATATAGACCGAAATAAGACTATTCTACGCCGCGTGTGGGCTTCTAAAGTGGCGGCTAATGGCGTGGTCCCGTCACTGTTCGACAACCGGCTAGTACTCATAGTGCGGGCCGGCCTGGAACACACTTTGACATAATTATTTTCGTGAGGCCCGGGTGGGAATTTTGTGTTTACGGATGTATTTGACATTTTTTGATGGTTTCGATTCAGCCTACCAAGTCTGTACTCTAAATTACCACTGCCCAACCGTCCACGGGTACGATTCTCAACCTTATCCCTTCAACTGGCGAAGGCGCGGCGATTCCCCCCCCCCCCCACCCAACACATGTGCACGCAATCATAGGATTGCAGCTATTACTGGGCTTTTATATTAATCTTTGCCGCTCATCATCAGCAGAAAGAATGGGCGGTCATCTGGCGGAGTCTGCCTCCGAAAAGACGACACAGGAAGACGTGAGCGAACCCACGGCCTTGCCGCTGAACTCATTACGAACTATTCCGGACTATAGCAGACGTAATTCGAATGAAACACCGGATGGGCCCCAGCTCGGGCATACAATAAATCCAGACACGGGCAATCAGGACCAGCTGGCGATATTTGCGACGACACCACATGTTGAAGCGGCTGCCGATGTGCCATACCACGTGTTTCGAAAGCGCACGAAGTATCTCATGGTTGCCCTGATTGGTGTGGCTGGGACTTTGTCAGGCCTGACATCTAGCACCTATTTTCCAGCGCTGAAGAGCATAACGAAGGTAGTCGATTGGGCGACGCCAGTCTTCAGCTCTTTATTTGATATTTGTCCCAAGCGAATAGCAGGACTATTACTCAGAATCTTACACTGACCGTTCGTTGACAGGAATTTGACATATCACACCAACTAACCTCTCTTACAATTACTACATATTCGCTCATGCAGGGTATAGGGGTCCTGCTATGGGGAACCCTCTCGGATAAGTTAGGGAGACGTCAAGCTTATATCTACTCCTTCATCGTCTGCCTCGTTGCTAATGGAGTTCTTTCCGGCTCCCCCAACCTGCCAATTATCTTCGTATTCCGTGGCTTGCAGGCATTCGGCAGCGCCTCCGTGATCAGCATTGGTACGTATGCGACTTGTCAATGCCAGATCTGAAATAGTGACTGAATTAATGACCGGCTGACAATCTTGGAGGGAGCGGCTTCATCCAGGATATTGCACCCCCTATCGAGATCGGTGGTTTTTTAAGTATATATCAAGCGTGTAAGTGAGAGGGTAAAATGAAGCTGCTGCAGTGGAGTTCTAAGACTTATCTGAACTTTACAGTACGCATGTTTGGCATGGCCGTGGGTCCTGTAATGGGCGGCGCTTTGGCCCAAAGATTTGGATTCCGTTCCATATTCATTGCCCTCGCCATATTCAACGGCCTGATCCTAGTGATGATCATCGTGGTTCTGCCAGAGACGTTGAGATCTGTGGTCGGGAATGGCTCTGCGCGCGTCAAGGGCTTCAGATACAAGCCTCTTTGGGATTTTAGGGCGGGAGGGCAGTCAGACACCGCAAGCCCTTACCACATGACCAAGCAGAAGATCAAGTTGCGGGACTTCTTGGAGCCCCTATGCATGCTACGCGACAAGAATACGCTGTTTTGCCTGGTTTTGGGTGGAGTCGCGTGCTCGATGTGGAGTATGATGAATGGCACCACGACGATGATTCTCGAAGAAAGGTTTAGCCTCAGCGAGCTTGATATAGGCCTGGCATACTTGGCGAATGGTGAGTTCAGCAACCTCTACAGTTTGGGGGCCAGGACACTGACGCCTCCGTGATTCAGGATCCGGTACCTGTCTCGGATCAGTCATCCCCGGATGGTTGATGAATAGGGACTTCCGCTCCACCGAAGCGAGGTACAGACAAGCCCACGGCATGCCAGATGAAAGCAATATATTGCTCAAGGCTATACCCAGTGACTTTCCGATCGAAAAGGCACGACTCCGCCACGTCTTCTGGATCATCGTGATGCTATCGCTCTCGGTGGTCCTTTACGGTCTGGCGCTCTTGGACTCATTTACAACATCACGCCGGCGTTGGATCGCCGTCCTCCTGGTTCTACAGTTCTTCATCGCGGTGTTCGCAAACATGATATTTGCCTTGACCTCTTGCCTCATGACCGACTTATACCCGGGGAAGGGCGCCAGCGCCACGGCGATTAGTAACCTCGCGCGGAGCACTCTTTCTGCGGGTGCTGTTCCTCTCGTGCACTACATGATTAAAGGGATTGGGGCCATGCCATCCTTTTGCGCCCTGGGTGGGGGTGTGCTCGTCTTGTGCATGTCTGCGGCGGCAGTCAGCCGCACATATGGGATGAAGTGGCGGGCGGAAACATGAAGAGAATGGGATGAATCATGAGAGGGAGTTCAAAAGTCCAATTGAAATGTGAGCCAGGAACCCGGAGAACATATGGTGGGCCCCTGAGTTGGGAACACTTCATTGAAAGGCATAAATCTGAGTCCTAAATGTTGAGAATACGCATGTTGGTGTCCGCGGTAGACATAAGTTGAAACATGATAATTATTTTTGAACTGATCCAACGTTGAAAGAATAAGTTCATCTAACTTACTAAATGATCTTATGTGTGTCATTATCGTCCAGTGTTACTCGCACGTGTGGGCACTCGTGAGGATTCAAGTCCCAGGTTTCCTGGGGCGGTCGGTTTTGACCGTGTCACATTGGTATGGGATGCTGGTGGGGCATCAAGGCCTACGGAACTAGAGAAAAACCGTAAAAGCTAAAGAATTGTGTATCGGATACTGCATCCACCTTATTAGACACCGACAGAATGGCATCTGTGAGACTCGGAAGACATCAATGATATCCATGGATGAATCCCTCCTCCCCTTCGAAAACCTTAGACCCTAACCCTCGGACCCACCCTCCCACGCTAGGACCCTCGACACTTCAGCTGGTGCCAGAGCCGAGGACTCACCAAGCAAAGCGCTCCCGAGGTCATTACAATACCAATCCTACGTTCATCTGTAGACGCATGAGACTTTCGATGGCCAGTAATATCATCACTGGATTTGCTTAATTTGTATGGTCGTAACCCACACGGATAGTGAGTCAGGACAGCCACCAGTTCCGAGGTCGAATCAGCCTTCATTCACCGATACAACAAAATCTGAACATCCTGAATTCGGCCGGACCAATCCGCCTGGATATACCCACATCACTTTTGGTCCATCAGTCTCACAACACTTGTCAATAAGACGACCGTGGTAGTCTCACAGCCATGACTCTATTTTTCAACCCTTTCTCCCGTTCCAGGGGCGGTGACGCATGGTTCCGGGTTGGCCTAGCGTCTTCATTTCCGAACATCACAGGCGAGGACGAGGACAACATCGCCCATGCGCGCCCGTGTGGCGCCGGTGCTGAAACGACACCCGGCTGCAAAGTCCTGTATGTCCCCAAGGAAGACAGTTCCCTTGCCAGCGAGGTCAAGCTTGACGAATCCGGCGCTCCGTGCGAGCCGGGAAGCCTGCGGGACCAAGTGCTTGTCTTCAAGTACAAGGGCAAATTTCATGCTATAAATCAGGCAAGCAAACACCACATTGATAAATGTAACGAATGTGCTGCCGATGTGTCTTTAGACTAACCAGGCATGCAGGAGTGTCCTCATTCGTCATATCCGCTGTCAGACGGGACACCATTTGACATTGAAGACTTTGGCGTTGTGTTGAGTTCTGGCATCACATGCCCCAAGCACGGTTGGTCTTTTGATCTCATTACCGGCAGAGGCGACCGGGGCAACTACAGGCTGCAAGTGTGGGAGACTGAGCTTCGCCCTGTCGAATCGGAGGGCGCCGAGGCGGGAGACAGCGAAGTCTGGGTTAGGAGGAAGCAAAGAATCGGATAGACACTTTGGCGCCCATCTTCGGCGTTTTATAGAGGACACTAAGCTCGAGATATCCAACAAGTATGACGGTACCGTTGACTCAAATGCACAGAAGTATAGAACAGTGATCAGCTTTCTTGATTCGCGAGCTTCATTCCGTCTGCCCGCCACGAATTCCCGCAAGACATCAATGGTGAAGTTTGATCTGCATCACACAAAATAATTTTTGGAATGACTTGGTGATCATTGGAATGCTGCGTCTATGTACCGTCTAGCCATAGATACCAGAGCCGTCTTTGAACAAATCCTGCGGTTCAGCGAACATGAACGGAAATGCCGAGACGGTGGAGAAGGAGTCCTTGTAGGCCTCGTTCCCTACTAGGCTCACCCTCAGACCGTATAGCACAAACATAAATGGCGAATAAGTACAAGCAATGTGAGAGACGTGGAAGAAACAGGGAGTGATGCAATCACCGTACCAGCCTCGGGCTATGCTAGGTGGAGGCTCTAGCAGGCCCAGTTCGAACACGCCACCTGGGGATGGGGTCGAGTAAGACAGTCCACAAGTAGTAACGATCTTCGGGAGATCTGCGCCGCAGGAGGTTTGTGGATCGTGATTACCCTATCTGCTCTAACAATCACCAGTAGGTTGGCGCTGGTAATTCTCGGACGGCAGCCGAGTCGATGAGAAGTTCGAGAGCTGCCTACTGCTTTGAACCGATGCGGTAGGTGGCAGCGGTGATAACGGTGATAGCGATGACATCTGCCACATCAGACGCAGGGGAAGTGGTGCTTTCTTCCTGTACTGTGGATATGTACGGTCTGGAAGCACGAACCCTTGTAGTTCAGCCTTGGGCCCAGACCTTGGGATGTTTCGGTTGGCGCCGATTTTGGGGGGATGCAGTTGAGGATCGGAAATTCGGATGCCTAGTGCGTCTGTATTGGTGCAAGGCCAGAAAAGTACCAGGCTTGTCGGCGGAAAGGAGGCTCAAAGAGCGCATGCACCCACGCATTCCCTCGGCAAACGTGACAGCTGCCATGACGACAGCGTCGACATGGTTGACGCTGGAATCTAATACACTGGGCCTCTGCTCCTCTCATCTCGGCTCCCTTGGAGGAGATATCCTGCTGGCCCACCGAACAAGGTTGTTTTCCCTGTTCTAATCTTGTTCCGTGTGTCGGATTGAATCCACCTTCCACCTCGCTTGAGCGGTTGTTTCGCCGAGATGTGGCGGACCGTTCCTCGTAGAAGATCAGCGAATTAGGGCCCTGGAATTTCCTATCGCGCTGGCTTGGCGTTTAAGCCTGTGCAGGATTGATGACAGGGGCAAAGTAGCCTCCCCAGATGTTCCACCAATCAGTCTCTTCTCCGGTCTCCGGATCCGAAGGCCTGGAGTTCCACCCCCGCCGTCCGCCCCGGACGCGGACCATCACGTCAGAGGAGGTTTGAGGCTTCAACTGGCGGTAGGATCAACGTCCAGGAAGGAGCCGCAGAAACAGAACGAAACGAAACAACCACGATCCATCAGCAACGATGTTGTCGGTCAAATCTTGTGGATATATTGAACTGTTGAGTGGCACTGATGCTACTCATGATCGCACACACGACTCGCCAGCTACCGTTTACGATGGGTCACGAGGCTTTCAATGCTTGGCCCTTAGCAAACAGGACTCCCCTTGGGGAAGGCGACCCGCAAAAGCTTACTTCGTCCCGTAATATCAAGTACACGGAACATCTATCACTAAGCTCAAGCGCCGCCTGCGCAGGTTATGTACAAGACCCCTGCAGGATCATGGCCTCAAACAAAAACCTCCGAAATGCTCAGGCCGGTCCCCTGAACACATCCCCCTAAACACGTTGCTGGGCATAGGACATCGACGATGTTGGTAATCTAACTCCCACTGGAGGCGCGGGGTGCACACGGTCCACAGAAAGGTAGGATATATGTCGAGACGTTCTCTCAGCTGTTTCCCTTTCTCCCATTCCTCAAGCACGACCATCTTCAGTTGGGATTGTATTCTTCAAAGTCACCGCGAGCTCGGTGTTGTCTCTCATTCTTTTCACTGTCAGTGCATTTGCCTGACTTGACATTCTTTTCCACATACATTCATTCACGAACCAGAGCTAGGCTCTGTTACCTTCAGTCCCTATCACATCAATATCACCACAGCTACTTCCAGCACCTTGGAAAGATACGAAAATGCGTTCCGTACTCATGGGCTCTGCAGCAGCCCTCGCCGGGCTTGCTCGCATGGCCGCGGCTGCCACCACGTCGTCCGCTTACACGGATGCCAACACCGGCATTGACTTCCAGCAATACTATGCCAACGGCGGTGCGTTCCAATTCGGTATTGCGCTTCCCGAGACGATCGAGTCGGATTTCATCGGACAGCTCGTTGTGCCGATCACAGAGACAGGAGGATGGGGAGCTGTTTCGCTTGCCGGGGGCATGTTGAACCACCTGCTGCTCGTTGCTTGGGCCAACGGAGACGAGGTTGTCAGCACTTTCCGAACAGCCAGTGCATACGCCAACCCGGCCGTGTACGACGCCACCGAGGTCAGCGCACTGCCCATCGAGAAGGGAACCTTCGTCAACAGCACCCACTTCTCCTTCACCTTCCTCTGCGAGGGATGTATCGTCGGTGGTACCACGACCTTCAAGCCCACAGACGAGACTCCCATCTTCGGCTGGGCACTCTCTGCTGAGAACCCCACCACTCCCTCTGACCCCGCCAGTGAGCTGCCCTACCACGGCGCTGGCTTCGGTCTGTACGGAGTCCCAGCTGCCAGCGCCCAGTCTGCCAAGTTCGAGGAGTGGGCTGCCATGGCCTCCAAGGCCACCACGCCTGCTCCGCCTGCTCCTGGCGCTGGCAGCAACTCGACCGCCCCGGTTGGTGGCAACGGCACCTCTGTCATCCCCACAACCTCCAACAGCACCTACGATGTGATCGTCGTCGGCGGTGGTCCTTCTGGTATCATTGCTGCTGAGCGTATTGCCGAGTCTGGCGCCAGCGTGCTCCTGATCGAGCGTGGCCCAGCCAACACTGTCGCCCTCGGATCCGACAACGCCCTGCCATGGAATGACACCCTGACCCCTTACGATGTTCCCGCCCTCGGTAGCAGTCTTTCAGGCCTTTCCGGGACCAAGATCTGCAGCGACACCGCCTCGATGGCTGGTTGTCTCCTCGGAGGTTCCAGCTCCATCAACGGCGAGAACTTCATCCACCCTCCTGCGCACGACTTCCAGAACTGGCCCGCGGGATGGTCCTGGGACGATGTGACTAAGGCTTCTGAGCGTCTGTACGAGCGTAACCCCGGTACTACGCTGCCTTCCAAGGACGGCAAGTACTACGACGACACGGCCTTCAGTGTTGTTTCCTCCTACCTGGATGCCCAGGGCTGGACCGAGGTCGACTCCATCAAGTCTCCCAACGAGAAGCACATGATCTACTCTCGCCCCGCCTGGTCCATCACCAACAACCTCCGTGCCGGTCCCGCCAGGACCTACATGCCCCACGCTCAGGCACTCGACAACTTCACCCTCAAGCTCGGCAGCAAGGTCGTCCAGGTCAAGCGCGATGGCAGCAGCGTCACCGGTGTCCTCGTCGAGGCTGAGGACAAGAGCCAGCAGATCATCAACCTCAACCAGGGTGGCAAGGTCGTCCTCGCTGCAGGTGCTCTGTCCACCCCTAGGATCCTCTGGAACTCTGGTATCGGCAAGTCTGATGCTCTCAAGATTGTCCAGGGAGGTACCACTGGTGTCGAGCTCCCCGATGAGGCGGACTGGATCGATCTCCCCGTCGGTCACGGCCTCAAGGACCACGCCCAGGCTCCTCTGTCCTTCAACATCGCCAGCCTCGACGCCTACGACTTCACCGGCATCGCCACCGCGCCCGTCGAGTCTGACCTGGACCTCTACAAGCAGGGCTCCGGCCCAATCACCCAGGCCGCCCAGCGCATGCACCTGTGGACCTCCATCAATGGCACCGATGGCGTCGAGCGCTACCTCCAGGGCACCGTCAGCGCCATGAAGGACGGCATTATCACTGTGCGCACTTTCCTGACCCACGGCACTACCACTACGGGCGAGCTCGGCATTACAGCTGGCGGCAATACAGTCCTGAACGTCAAGCCTTGGTTGATCACCGACGGCGACAAGGAGGCCTTCACCACCTTCATCCAGTGGTGGATAGACACCACGACCAAGAAGAACGGCAACGCGACCCTCGCCGCCGCGGCCTCCATGGCCATGGACGCCGACGCGACCCCCGAGTCCATCATCACCAACAACCTCATCTCGGGCGACCACTGGGTCGGCACCGCTAAGATGGGCACTGACGACGGGCGCTCCAACGGCACCGCCGTCGTCGACACCGACACCCGCGTCTACGGTACCGACAACCTGTTTGTTGTTGATGCCTCTATCCATCCCGACCTGCCTACCGGTAACACACAGGCTATCATCATGATCGTCGCTGAGCACGCGGCCGAGAAGATCGCCGCCTTCGACGTCGCCACCGGCAGCGCTGGCAGCCCAGGTGCCGGTGCCGAGACCGAGGTCCCCTGCAAGCGCAGGAAGAGGCGTGACTCCACGGGCCGCGTCATCCGCCGCCGCTACTAGAGGGAGTTGCGTTTGCTTTTACCTTGCATGGTCGGGTATAGAAGGTTTTAAACGGGAGTCAGGAGACTCGGTGTGATTTCTTTTCCTTCGGATTCGAAGCTTTCTTGTATATTTTGAGATCACAGTAGATAAAGACTTGTCAATGTACATGACACATTTGCCATTTATAACATGACTGCGTCTCCTTTGAAAGTTGATGCAAGAATCACTGCCTAGCGCTGAGGCCCCGAGGCCGACTTGACCTAGAAAAAGCTTCCCTTCCACGCACTCACCACAGCCTGTGCCACCAGCTTGTTGATGGAGTAGCCGGGGTGGTAGTCGTTGAACCATAGGCAGCTCTTGCCGTCCGCGTTGTAGCACGTGGCGTCTGGCGAGCCGTATGCGGTGGGGTTCTTGATCGCGGTCATGAACGGCGTCGTAGTATCGACGATCTTCGCAGTGACGCCGCTGTTGGCCGAGGTGAACTTCGCAAGCGAGGACGCGATAAGTGAGTTGTAGCTGGCGATCACTGCTGCCTCCGAGTCTCTCGCACTCTGGTCTTGTCCGAGCATGAGCGGGGTGTATTGGATTGCTTTTCCGTGTTGTGTCAGTATTGAAAATCTGTCGGAACATTGAAAGGGAGCGGGGCCGAGAACTCACGTGGGACGGTTAGCAGGACAAAGTTCCGAGCGCCGGCGTTATAGATGATCTGGAGCTGATCGAAATACTTCGAGATGACGGCATTGGTGATATCGGTGACATTGCTGCGATAATAGGTGTTTCCGACATCATTGACGCCGATCCACACTCCAACGAGCGTATTTGCTGCCGTCCATGGGGCATAAGACGGGTGGGACGCGAGGGAGCTGCTGAACTGTCCGACCTGGTCCACAAGGCTCTTCACGCTAGGATCGTAAGGCGTAACGAGGTTCGAGTCCGTCGTGGCGCCACCGTACGCGAAGTTGTACGTGAGGAGTGTGGACGTGTTCAGCTGGGAGGCCAGTATGCCCACCCAGTTCAGACCACCAGCAGCTGTATAGCCGGGCAGCGCTGGGTTTCCGATGGGGTTGCTGGCTGATGGCTTGTCACCGTTGATATCGAATCCAGTCTGCGAGTAAGAGTCGCCGCTATTTCACGAGTAAGCACGACTAGTGGAGCAAAGATAGCTTGCATGAGATACTGACAATGTGATCAAATATTTAGCTCCAGTCGGGGCACTACTAGGCGTGGCTGTGGAGGTCGTGCTGGTTTTGAACGTGGTCGTGGATGTTGAGGCCTTCGACGTACTACTGGATGTTGGCCCCGCTGAAGATGTGCCTGGAACACACTGGGCTGAAATTCGAGCGAAGTTGTCAGCTAAGAATAAACAAATCACCGTATTTTTTGCTTGAAAACTCACAGTAGTACGGGTTGAAGGACGTGCAGACCGATCCTGAAGCACAATTCGTAGCTCCAGTGAAGCCGATTCCTCCACATTGCCCGTACATTGGCACTTGTGCTGATGCAGCAGCAGCCAGCACGGACACCAACCACAAGGACCTGAGAGCCATATTTAGTTCACAATAACCGGCCCAACGAGAAAATGACAGTGTATGCAGCTCACTTTCGAGAAAATACAGAGCAACGAGAGAATAGGAATCTCTGTAACAGGCTGGGCCAAAGCTTATCTATACGTGAATTACAGTGTTGTACAGAGGGCGTGTCGCTTCGGCCCGTACGCTCCACGCGGTGTTCAGCTGGGATACTAGACCACCGGTTTGTCCGGAGGGCACTACATGGGGCAGTTGGTCCCGCAGAATCGGGAGACGAAAACGTGGCCTCGAAATGAAATAGCATCGACTTGATCTGACCATTGGAAGCCCAGACCCATTCTTGGCATTCCGTCTCCGTGTCTATTTGGCCGCTTAGGTGGATTGAGTTTGCCTCGGAGGAGGCCAGCCGCGCTTTTTCGGGCTAAAGGCCCTCACAGCCGGAAATACAGGCACTGCGTGTCAGGACACTAGGTTCTATCTCCTGACTAGGTCCCAACAACGCTTTACAGAATACCGGCAATAGTTCCAGATTCGAAGCTAATTTATCTGTCTCAAAGGGAGATGCACGCTATCAGTGTTGTACGAACGCAATCACACAAGTATCATAGGCCTCACGGGGCCAGGTGACCAGTCCCTGCCCTTCTTCATGCTTGCACAGCATTGTGAAGTCCTGTAATAACAAATATACCTAGGTAACTCTTCAATTCGTAGATCATGCAGATTCGGGGTTTAACACGAAAATTCCCTGGGCCTTCACGTGCACAGCGCCGAAATTTTGAAAATAATGATTACTAAGTACCGCAATCCCATTGTCAACTACAAACATTGAACATTTGAACGCTATGTATTAATCAATATGCATAACAAAAGAGACGATTTTTACTCCCAGAACACATTTTATCTACCACTCATTAACAACTCTACCAAACTGTTTCAGCATTACTTACCATAAGCCACCTCGGCCGTTTAGCCAAAGTAGTCTACGAATAGCTGCCGGTAGGTATTGGAAAATTCCACAGTCTGGGACCTCGGCGACCTCAGCTCCATCTATATCCAAATCCATGCTTTCCGAGCGCGAGACAGTCATTTGCATAACATCTCCTTCTCGGCAGCTGTTGAACCACGCATGGCTGAGAATCTCGTCCACTCCGATGCGGTCCTCAGGCTTCCAGGCAAAGATCTTCTTGAAGAGGTCCAAGAGCTCTAAAACCTCTCCCTCTGGGATCTCGGAAACCATTATCTTGTAGCCCGGTCGCATGAGGTACCTACCCCTGCAACCCCGTCCGGGGGGTGGAGGCGGTGGTTGTGCTTCCCCCTCAGCCAAGGGAACCACGAACTGCTCCTCCAGAAGAAGAAGCATGTGAAGGGACCCGGGCACACCTACTCTTCTCATGTGCTCGGCTTGACTTTCCTTTCTCTCCTCAACACTAAGCGTCGCCCACTGTAATGGATCCTCGGGAACCTCGACTTGTTTGGCGAAGGCGGACCTGTATGGCTCAGGCAGCGGGCCGTTCAAATCCTCCCACTCACTCACAAGTCCCCAAACGCCGCCAAAACCCAAAAATGGATGGCCACTTCTCCTGATCTCAAAGATGGAACAGCCAAGTGCCCAGATATCGCTACCGAATCCAAAATTATAACTGTTTTCGAAGAATCCTTCAGGGGCACAGTATGAGTGAGGAATGCCAGTGGATTCAGGTGCATTGGATGCAAGGAAAGACTCTCCAAAGTCGATCACTGCGATCTCATCCGAGACATAACCCGAAGATATGGCAAGGTTTGGAGGGATGACAATATACCTGGGCTCATGGAGGTTGACACTGGCGTGTTCGTCTTCATGTTCTTCAGATGCTGGGCTAGGCACAACATTCTCGTCATCTTCAAAATCGTCTCCTGCTACACCCTCGTCGTAGAAGGTGTCATCTTCCTCGGCTTCTCCTGCATAGTCGCTGCGCCAATCATACTCGTCGTCGTCAACGTAACATAGCAAGTTCGGCCTACCAAGCAGCCGCAAGATTTGCTCCTCATCGAGGTCATCAAGACCTTTCAAGACGTAGCAGATGTTGTTAGGACGGAAGTCACCATGGCAGATCCCCCTTTCATGGAGAAACTTCATGGCAAGCACGAGCTGGTAACAAATCTTTTTCAGTGGTTGTGCCTCGTGGTGGTGTCTGTCAGCGGCATCCTCCAGGTTCGGACCGAGGACCGGCATGACGACGCAAAGATGCGTGCCATTAGGCCCGTCAAGCCAGAAGTGGTCCTCTGGAATGACCACATGACTGAAACTGATGTCTCTCTCTTTAGGGCTCAAGTTCTCGAGCATCTCGCAGATCTTTAGGTCCGCACAGTGACCAGTAGAATGCTCGGCAGCAAGGATCTTCACAGCTCTCCACATGTTCTGCTGAAGATCCCGACAGAGCCAAACAGTGCCGAAGCCTCCATAGCCGAGTTTGTGTACTACCTTGTACCGGCCATCTTGACCCAAGAGGTCCCCGAGATGGGTAGGATGCAAACCGCCAGGCTTGTAGTCGTCGATGCTCTCTGCACCCACATCGGAGTCGGCTGGCACATACACCGGTCGAATTGAATTTGTTGTTGATGCCATGGTATTAAATGCAGCAAAAGGTACGAAACGTGGACTTCTGTTGCTGATGTTGCGGCTGTTGCTGTTGTGTTTGATCTCTACTAGAGATGTGAATGGTTGGTTCTGGGTGGCGTCTAATGTCAGTTGGCTGGCAGTCAAGAACTCACTGTCTTAAATATATATAATTCTTGCCTCGCCCGGAGGTCAAAGAAGTCTTTGTTCTTAATTGTTCTAAGGTTGTCCAGCATGAGCAGAAAGCCCCGACAGCGACCTTGCACGGCAGAGCAACCCTACCAATTTGAACAAACCCAACAAGGCAGCCTTTCAATGAAGATTCCATTGTCGCGGAATGATTGTGTGATTCAAATGATCTGGGTGTGTATGCTCCCCCACTAGGAGGGTGACAATGCGTTGACATTTGACAAGGAATGGAACGGAAGGCCAGCCGTTGAAAACCACTTGATACGAAGAGAATGCTTTTGAATGGTTCCGAGGTCCACCGAAGCTTTTTGTACCATCTGAGTAGTCCTGCTACGGGGTCAATTTAAATAAGGGAAGAATCTACCCATAATCAAGAAAGGTTGGAAGAAAACCAACCACCTTGGTACCAACCCAGCATCAACTACAAGCGATCAAAACTTCAATCCGGACCTATTCAACAGCCCTAAAACTGTCAGTCGATAAGATGTCATCTTCAGCAAGAGAGCTCCCAAGGCCGAAGCAAGGATCAAGACCCGCAGGTAAGTCAAACGCGAAGACCAAGAACAAGCTTCAGAACGCGAAATACATCCATGGACACACCGAAATTGACAGGAGCAAGGGAGGCGGTGTCCCATGGAAGATGGGTGAAATGCAAAAAGTGGCAGAAAGCCTGATCGTAGGCACCCCTAAGTGCCGTGCTTGCTACACGCTGACCCCACCGTGCGATTGTGGCAAGCCTTTGTACGAGACTGAGGTAAATGTGTTCTGGACTAGAGCATCTGGCTATTTGCGCCTTGCCTTACCAACAGTCAAGCGGTGCGAGGACATCCTCATTAGAGAGGCAAAACGTCTCGGGATGAAATGTGTAGTTCTGAGATCAGACCATCATAACACCGCCACAATGTTCGATCGCACGGGCCGAAAGACTGGATACATGCCAGCCGACTGGCACATTACGGTATACTTAGGAGATGACATTAATCACCTCCTGTTGCAAGGTCACGTTTACACATTTGTCGGTAGGAACACGGAATTTCCTTTAAGCAAACTTCATGAAGGCAACAGAAAGATTCTCGAGACACACGAATTGCTTGAGGGCTTGACGCTTGAGGAGGCCGCACCTGAGGCGTTTTGGGGGTTGCGAGGGAGCTGTGGTTGGGTAAACGTTGAGGGACAGCCCGTTAACGCTGATGGCACACCCATCATCAAGAAGCCTGAGGAGGAAACACCCACCATCGAGAAGCCTGAGGAGGAAACACCCACCATCGAGAAGCCTGAGGAGGAAACACCCACCATCGAGAAGCCTGAGGAGGAAACATCCGTCGTCAAGCCTGACGAGGAATTGTCAGTCGAGTAGGTCATTTACTTCCTCGGAGAATCAGCACAGCCGTGTTTTGGTGCAGTGGTTACTGAAATTTCCCCAGATTGTTTATTTCCAATTACCAAAGGGCGCTCCCCTACACGCAGCGAGAAAGCTCTTACAGCCTGAGAAACAAGGCAAACCCTTTTCCCCTGGTACTTTAACTTTCAAGGTTACCACTGAAATACAAAAGTAAGAACAAAAACAATTTACATATTTCACTTCTCCCCGCAGCTTTATTAATGAATAAATATGTCCAATTGGGAACAAAATTACCCCTACCACTGCTGGTTTTGTAAAAGGCCAGGTGGGTGGGTGCGGTGCTGGGGTTGCTTTACCCCATCCTTATGTTCATAACTTCCAAATGTCTGAGCAACATCTAAAGCCAGAATTAAGCGCCGAAGGGACAAGGTACTAAATAAGCATCTGTGCGTGTGTTGCAATGCCCCGGTACCTTCACATTTGTCGGTTGGCTTTCTTCACGCATATGCAGGGAGAGGTAAAAGTGGGGTATAGGTTGGTTGATTCAGGTGCCTGCAAACGGCAGGTTGTAAGCACCTTCATGTACCCAGGTATGTGCCAGATTAAGCCTACAGACAACAACATTCTTCAATTTGCATAGAAGGTGTTCGTCCACGCCATGGCTTTTAGCAATGCCTAACAACGGGTGTGTGACTTAAATTCCAGTGGACTAGATATTTTTATCAGCTCGCGAGCCGTCACATGAAATAGTATGTAGGTATATCCCTGGTGACCCTTGATTGATTTCTGCTGAAAAGCCGTTGTTTTGAGCCGTTAACGTTACTTACAGGATGCAATTGTGTCAACCCTCAGGAATTCGAGCTGATATCTTTGCACGATCATGGAATCAGGGCTACTGCCCCTGACCACGCAGGTCCAACCAGGCCTCAGGTGACCGCTTCTTGACCTTCGGCATCATTTTCTTGGTCGACTCCACGGCTGATGGAGCCCAAGAGCATATGCCAAACCCCGTCTCGCTCATGATGTCTATGGTCAACAATATCGCTAGACCACGATTAACGAGGTGGACCTTCAAGGGTCAACTTGGTGCACTTTAACTCACAAATCCAAGATTTTTCCTAGGGTGTCATCGAGGTACTGGAGCCTCTGTTTTCCGAGTGGGTCGTCGCCAAACTGGATGAACTGCAGGGCGACAGTTGTCCTGGTTTTACATAGCTTTTGCATCTTCCTCACAAGATCCTTGATCGGGTCTTCAACTCCGCATTGTTTCCTCGTTCCGCCCTCCCATATTGCGTCGGTCAGGATGTACACACTTGTCCCACGGCGATTTGTCTGCTGGAAGAAGCCGGGCCCTTTCTTCAGACCACTCTTGACATGGTCCAATATGGAGCTGAGGCTGGACTCCATGTTACAAGGGCCTCCAGGATATCTTCTCTCTGGGTTGTCCAGCCAACGAACGAGAGTGCTGATCTCCCTCGCCCCACTCTTTCTAGGTCTGGTCGGGTTAGAAGTGACAAACAGTTCGACTCCATTTGGATCTGCGTGTTTCACCAAGTATCCCAGCGCTTTCACTGTATCGATCACATCATCCCAGTGATTTTGCCTCATAGTTTCCGAGTCGTCAATGACAAATATCTGTTCGTGGTTAGTCGGAATATAGTCACGTATACGCAAGTCGACATACCTGTTCCCGGCCATCGATCTCCTGCATGGCTCGTTGATAATCAGGCAGTGGCGGTGCCCCGCTTCTTTTCTTTCGATCTATCCACCGGAGCACCTCGGGAATTTTCAGAAGGGCGTATTCAACGTGTCCCCCCAAACCACTTCCACCAGCGGCCACTGTTTCCACGGCGTGTGAGGAATCTGGCGAGGTCACTCGGTCATCATGTGCAATCTTCTCCTCCCATACAGGTTGACAATTGTGTATCGACGTGCGATGTGACATATCGTTCGGGTCGCTCAGAGCCGATGCAGCTCCAGAGTCAGGTTTCATCGGTGGAGAGATAATTATATGCGCCTGGTCTGGACCTGATGGAGATGCTTGTGCCTGCTCTCGGTCCGGAGCTTCCATTGATGCCGGTGAAGCAGGCCATGCGAGTATTTCGCCTGCCTCGGTACTCGAACGAGATCTGTTGGGCCTGGGGAGGCTGCGACTGCTCTCAATTAGCGAGTTAGGTGACCCAAGCCCTTCGCGAGCGTGGATATCTTGGCGAATTTGGTTTCCTGCTTGAATGTTTACCAGGGGCATTTTCTCGTCGCCGTCTTCCTGCGATGGTCTTTGCTCCCGGATGGGACTCATGAGAGGTGGCGAATCCAATGTTTGGAGATTCTCCGGTTGTCGGGTCTCTGCTTCCAGTTTTCTCTCGAAACGCGGTCGCAAGGTCCTAGCATCCAGCCTGCGTTTGCTGTTCGCTATGAGCATATCGTGCATGATAATTTCACCAATTGCGCCGGATAGATCATCAAACACCCGTCTTCTTTCCATGACAAGTTTCATCATGTCGTCAACAGCCTGATTTCGGTCATTTCCATTGTGGAAACAACCTGAGTATCCCTGGTCCTTGAGGCGCAGATCTGCATCGGTTTCTTTCTGCCTCATTTGGAAAAAGGCCTGCACTCCTCTTGATCCACATGTCATCCAAACCAAACATTCGAAAAGAACACACCCAAATGACCAAATGTCCATTTCCCATAGTGCACCATAGTCAATATCCTCCAATGCTGCATAGCGGCTGGACAATTCTGGGGCTCCGTACATTTTCGTGCTTGGTTCGGCCGGGGTTCTGATTGATTTGTTCGGGGTCTTGACAAGGGCCGTACTTGTCATTCCAAAGTCACCAATTTTGAATTGGTAATCATAGGCAGTGGTGGCCCCTTTTCGGAACACAAAGATGTTGGCAGGCTTCAGGTCGTGATGCACGCAACGGATGTTGCCATAAATGCTGCTCCTGGGGTCCTGCTCGAGACTGTGAATATATTCGAGCCCAGTGAATAGGTCGATGAGGCTGGACCATAGGCCGTAGAGTTCCTGTCGCTCAAGTGGCAGCTGATTGCGGTCGAAGAAATCCAACAAGCTTCCTTCTTCTACATACTCGAGCATGATGAATCCTCTGTCGCCCTTTGTGAATGAGCCATAGTATTTTAGAAATTGCTGTTTGTAGATACGCTTAGGGACTTTGTTTTCGAGACTGATGTATGTATCAACCTCGTTTTTGAATGAGTACTTCATTTCGGAGGGATCGAACTCTTTTAAAACAATCGCATCCTGGCGGAAGACGCATTAATTCAGACGATCTATAGCACCATTCGTAATAAATCAAGAGCACTCACAGTCGGCAGGCCAGAAGAGGGATCAACATGGCATTTTTTCACTATTGTGCTTTCCCCATCTCTACCCGAGAGTACCTTCTCGACTCTGAAAGGCAATATACTCTCCGGTAGCAGCTCCCTGAACTGTAAACGGTGTGGCCAAAGAGTAACCGGGGAGAAAAGCCACTGGTAGCATCGAAACTTGTTGAAGGTTTGTCGTCCATCTAGCGCATCGGAGAAGGCAGGTGGCTTGGAGTCGAATAGCATATTATGATCATCAATATCCTTCTCCACGAACTTCTTGATATAAAATAGTTTTGGGCTGTCGGTGGTGGAAATGTAGGCAAGGGTCGAAAAAATTCGCAGGAATCTAGCCAGAATGTCGTCAATGGGCACTTGAATGGGTGTGACGTGGCTACATGCGTTCAGAATAGAAGAGATCCGAGCACGCTGCCAGTATTCCTTCAAAGCTTCGAAAGTGATGTATTCGGACTCATTGCCGCGTCCATCGGTACCAACGGTCTGGTTTTTATCAACCCACGAATGAAAGTCGTCGAAGGGTTGGAAGTCTGGAGTCGTCGAGCTATATGAATAGGCCATCCCTGACGTATTTAATCGCTGAGCCTCGACAATAGATGTCTCGTGCAGGGATATCTGGTTGATGTCGGATCGCAGACGTGGATGGGTAGATTTCTCGGTGAGGTTCAGGCAGCAAGGAGCGTGCTGGTCAAACACAATTTGTACTCGCGCTGTTGAAGAGCATCATTCAAAGGCTTCGTTCGAACTATCCTGGCAGGTTAGCTCCACTAGTAGGGTCGAAGGGCGAGCAGAGAGTGACGAAAGTTTCGAACGGTGGTCCACAAGGAGCGGGCTTTCGTTTTACGCAAGTCTGCTGGATCGCGAGGGCACACCAAAGGTCCTGTAAGACCATTTATAGGTCTCCCTGTCCGAGATGCTTGATGTTCTTGTCACGAATAGTGCAGGACTTCGAGTTTTCGAATCAAACAAGATGATAAAATACAACCGTGCCCCTCATTTTGTACGAGCGTCCAACAAACTCTTTATGGTGTCACACCTGGCATGCAGTCATCTGCAGAAGCGGCCGGGCTGCCCACCACTCACGCACCACCCACGCTCACCTTGCGGGCTTTTCACCAGCTTCTCGGTTCGGTCTAGTCACACCGGAGGTAACCTATCTAGGTACCTCAGCCACTGTGGGCTTTCATAAGGCATTCTCTTGCAGTAATCTCCCACTTGTTGCGCCTCCCCCTCCTCACCCACACCTCCCCTTTTTACACTCCGACGAAAAGGACTCAGCCTGCAGGATGCCCCACCATGCAGGATGTTCGAGTTCATTACTAATCCACGCTTTCCGAATGGTGTCTAGATTTTCTTCCGAGAGAAACGAAACCGACGTCATCATTTCCAATTCCTTTTCCACGGTACTCTAATGGGCACCTAGGTAGATGCGTGAATGTGAACATAGTTGGGGAAATGATTGGAAGCTTGCAAGAGCGATTGATTCAGCCTGCAGCAACTGGTTTAACTCCCACAAGAGTCTCCTCGTCTTCTTGAGTAAGCTGGCGCCTGACGCGATTGTTCCTCCAGTACAAGATCCACCAAAGACAGATAATAACCCCAGTCATGGGCAAGCAGATCGATACGAATAACGCAAAGAATTGCGGCTTCCAGAATGGCATTGATGACCCACGTGGGTCGTCTTGGTCCCATTGAAATGCTCCGCTGCTGAAGAATGTCTGGACTGATGTTAGATAACCCGTCAACTCAGAGAAAGAGAAAGACGGCAATCTAAAAGTTCTTACGGCGACGAAAGTGGCGGGCAAGAATAATAACGTGACCAGTGTGATGAGGTGCATTGAAGAGGTCTGTATGGCCGTCTTCTCTGCGACTTTCTTCATGCTCTTCGTCATGGCCTCCATCTCGAGGCTTGACTGGTGCATATCTTTGGTCATAGCATGTACATGCTTTCCGCTCTCAAAAGCATTGACTGCAAAGAGCTTGTTCAGCTCGATATTACGGAACTGCACAATTTTGTCGAACTAATCATAACTCGTCAGCTACTGATTCCAGTATATCAAGAGAGCCTAGAATGCGGGCCGAACTTACCAGTGACTTGCCATCCTCGAACATCCTCATGAGAGTGTCCGCTCGAGACTGCTCCATTTCTAAGCTTCTGACAACTGCCCTGGCGCGTGTGTAGAAGCCTTTCAGGTCCTGGGCGCAGCCTTTCTTGATGTCCATGGGAATTTGATCATTTTCAACAAGCGTTTTATAATAGTCAATAATTTCGTTGATGACCTCTGCATTCAGCTTCATGACAAGCTTGACTTCGTGAATTTGCGATGCGACGTCTGTCAGCGTCTGTAGTCCGTCGACGGTAAATTCCTGCAGTACTTTGAACTTGCTTTGTTGTAGTTGTGTCGGAGATGCGAGGAGGGGCTCAGGCCTGTGTGGCTGCGGTGGGGTTTCTGGTCTGTTCAGCATTGGAGAATCTTTCTTCTCAGCTTCCACACTGGTTGAAGCTCTCGAGAAGGAGATCCCGCTCAGTATTCGCTTCGGGGACACAGTCGACAAAACGCTATGCAGGGTATCTGCTCTCCGCGGCGCTTTCGGGTAGGCATTTGAGTTGATGCGGCGGGGCAGCTTTCCAACATCTTCTTCGGTCTCCCACAATCGCTCAAGAAGAGCCTTCGCGTCCACGCTCAACGACTGCTCAATGTTCTTGAGGGGGGCGCCTTTAGCTTTCAACAGTATTTCGTTGAGCTGGTTTTGAAGATCACTGATTCTTGATTTCCAATTCTCACCACTCCATTCAAGCACAAGAAGGAGTGTCAGAAGAGAAGCAGAGAAAGATCCACTGATAGTCTTGAGCGAACTAGGCTGTAGCTGGCTGGTGGATCCCAGGGCTTGTGTGATTCGTTCTTGCATCAGCTCATTACCCTTGACGTTGATCCAGGTAGCACGTCCCGTGCGCACGTCAAATGAGTGGTAAACTGCGGTCTGTCGGATTGACCACGGAGGAGATTTAGACCTCTCTATAGACCACAGATTGAAACAATGCCTGATCTCGTGGCCTGATCTCCCCAATCTGGGAATACGATGTCTTTCGGCTTCAAAGTCATCAAGAAAGTTCTCAGCGTTGAAGGCGGTATAGTGGAAGTCTTTCAATGCCTCCTGCTCTCCGAAGGTGAAGGCAAGGTCTAGGAATCGAGGCATTGTTTGTAAGAATGACAGAGTATATGTGAAAACGTCCATTGAGCAGTCAAGAGGTGCGCGAGAATGATCTGCTGTTATGAAACTATGTCTATTGTCAGAATCCTCTCTGAATCACTTAAATTGTGTTCCTGTTATACCGTTGTTGCTGGATGCAAGGGAGACTCACACGTGCCGGCATCGAGGATCTTTACGTTCAGCGCGGAAGTGGCTTTTTAACTCTTCCACTGTCCTGTACCTCTTCAATTGTCCAAATTCTGCTTGGCAGCACTTAGTGCCCGTAGAAAAGATATCTGTAATATACAAATCGGATTTTGACTTACCACAGCCATCGTATGATTCTACGAGCTTGACGCCAGAATAATCAGGCTCGTCCACGAACAAGCGTTGTTCTTGCTCCCGAAGAGTTTCATTGTATGACAGTAATTCATGCTTGAATGAGTGTGAACGTAGCAGATTGACAGGATATGTATTGGCATCAACGAGAGCCGCGTTCAAGACATCATGCTGATCATAGGAATCCATATCGTCAGGATACTTGTTTCAATTGACAGAAACACTCGATTTGAATCAGCAATGGTCCGGATGAAGATATCTTTTTGAATTCATTCCAACTTGGGCCCTGTCGGGAGTACAACTGAGGCTCTGAGGACTTTCAACCTCGCAATGAGACCTGTAGACGAAAAGATATTGGGTCCACTTCCCAGCCTCGAAGGTGCAACGCCCCCACGCTAGGTGTCACAACATCTGAGACCTTTAATTGGATGTTTGTAACCAGACGAAAAACGACACAACAGCCGGGGTGGAGTGGTGCAACGTCGTGCTTGGGACTGTCCACGAGTTGATTGGTCGATACCGGCCGCTGCATATGTGGGCGGGCATCCTGCAGGGCGACCGGTGAGGCAATTCGCCTTGAAGATCAGGCCTCCGCCCCCATCGGGCACCTGGGAGGGTGTCGGCGTCTTATCAACCTAGGGCGCAGGCGAAGAATCCTCAGCTGAGAATTTTGGTATGTGGAAAAAGTCATGTTTCAATTTATTGTTCTCATAAATCATTCACTGCGTGTCAACCTTATTCAATCCAGTAAGACCAGCTTCGACGTATTTGGCTACAATGCCGGGCTATAACAGAGCCTTGTGCATTCCATTCTCTCTTCAGTCCTCGCACGTCCGAATCGCAGTGGCTGATCTGCGCTCTCCACTTATCTCCGCCACGTCTGTGTGCAACCATCACCCGCGCCGGCGGCGAAGCACCCTGTAAAGCTCTGTCACCTGCGCCTTCCAACTCGGTAAGTCATTTTTCTAGTCCGATACGGGAGGCTCATCTCCGTATTAGGTCAGGCTTACTTGACTGAGCTGCTGAGGCAGATCCACGGCAAACTGGTCTCCGGGGACGGTCTGTGATCCGTGTTAGGCGTTTTCCTTCCATGAAAACAAGCACCTCGGAAAATGCCTTGAACCGAAGTATGCCTTGAGCTAAATAGATTCAAGGGAGAGATAGTACTTGCATTAACGGCGATGCTGTGCCCAGGGAAGAGTTGCTGCAAGTATTCCTGCAGTCTCACAGACGATATCCCGTAGGCTTTGATGAAAGCTTCAACCATCGTGGATTTGTCTTGGTCGAATTCCTAGAAATTTCGTTTCTTGACGGAATAGGAGAGAAGGTTCGGCTACAACCCACTCCGGGCGCCCAGTCTGCCGTGCCGTGGTATATATTCAGTTTAGCGCTTGTACAGGCCGCGCACCGCAACCACCACTGGCATTTGCTGGCGAGGCGACCTTGGGCAACTCTAGATGCCTGGTTGCCATATTGACGGCCCGAGTATCTTCAGCGTCCCTCAGCTCCTCCAAGCTCCTCCAGGCTCCTCCAGGGCGGGAATTGCCACGCCCGCAGAGCCGCATGTTGTGGTCTGATTCCCAACACCATTGGCCCTCGCAGTGTTCCCATGATACGGCTGCATGAAGCTGCATCTTCACTGGCCAATGTGGCCGCGCTTCCCGCTCTCAATTCATTTCCCGGGTTTCAGATCCTGCTCGCAAATCGGTCACTGATGCTAAGTATGCACGGTCTTTTTGTCTTCCCAGATCCTTTATCACAGCAGTACTATCAGCAACCACCTGCTCGTTCTTCCTATAGAAATTAAGAGAACGGAAATTCGCGTACCCAAGATCGGAAGGCGCGTACCCAACGGTGACTAAGCAGTATTCTATACAAGACGACTTCTTCTCGAAGGGCCGGCTGGGGCGAAGGGGGCGAGCCCCGGAGCGCGAAGCATAGCGGAGGGCCGTGAGTAGGGCCGGTAGGCACGACCCGAGTTCCTAGAGGACCAACCCGCCCTGTTTGTGGTCCCTTATCGCGAAGAAGCCTTATTTGTTGAAGTCGTGAAGACTTTGAGGTTCTGTTCTCTGATTGGTTGAATAGTAGGGAGGGTACGCGCCTTCCGATTGAGGGTACGCGAATTTCCGTTCTCGAAATTAATAGCATTACTCAGCCATCGTAGGCTGCGGCTGGTCCTATAAAGTAGCATGAGGGGTGGCGATCTCACCTACGCAGCTGCTCTAGGCCTGATGGTACTGAGCCGTATGCAATGTGCTATTAATGCCCCCTTCGCGTGTCTGATGTGCATTTCTGCGTGGAGGACAACCAACCTCCTGTGCCACCCACCACACTCTGGGGTACTGTACCCAGCTCGTCAAAGCTACAAGCACGCGAAGTTCGATCCCACATAACATCCGCCCCGACAGAAATGACCATGACATCCTTGGCTTTGCAACCTGCGAATCAATGATGCATCTTTTTTGTTGCATCACCGACAATACATGCAACACCATGAATATCAGCGGCCAAGTACCTAGGTGAATATATGCAGCACCTCTCAGAGCGTCATTGCGATGCCTCTATAGCTTGTCAAATTTTTGTTTGGCTACGCCGTGATAGGGGCCGTTAAATAGAGGATCTTCCTACTGCGAGTCTTGTTCATGGGACATTGCACAGATGGCTGTCATGTGGGACGACTTTGCAAAGGACTTCCCATCGGAGGCAGTTACACAGGAGGCGACAACCATCATCTAGTATGATTCTGGGAATGTGTTTATTAATATTATTACTAGCCAGGGACAAACCTCTCGAGTCTTCTCGGTAAGTCAATGGATACCCTCACGCACAGCCCCCTTCATGTGACGGTACGGGCTTATAAGTGGTAGATTCCAGGTTAGGGTAACATGGAATTGTGGTCCGCCGCCATAAGCCGCTGGGGCCGCTACAAGGCCATCCACCTGCTAGGTTTTGCGCTGTACACGCTGGGGCTCGGCCTGTTCTCGCGCCTCGACGAGCACTCGCCCACGGGCGAGTGGGTCGGCTACATGTTCACGGCGCCTCTGGGGGCGGGCCTGCTGCTCAACACCCAGCTGCCCGCCTTTCAGGCGCCAGTCCCGGAGTCTGACCAGGCCGCCGCCACGGGCAGCTGGAACTTTGTCCGCACCATCGGCAGCGTCTGGGGCGTAGCCATCCCAGCCGCCATCTCGAGCCCCGTGGCGGCCGGCTTGCTCCGTGGCGGTGGCGCATATCAATTCGCCTCGGCCGACTTTGTTCGCCGGTTCCCGCCCGCCGTCCAGGATGAGATCCGTGCTGTCTACCGTCGCGCCATCCAGCGCGTGCTGTATGCTGCCATCTCGTTCACAGGGTTCGGGTGGCTGATATGCTGGTTCGAAAGGGACATTCCCCTCCGGACAGAGCTTGTGACGGACTATGGTCTCAGAGAAGATGAGGGATCCTGGGGGAAGAAAAGAGATGTTGAGACACGAAGAGAGGCTGTGATGGGAGTCATCGTGATTGTCAAATGGCAATGAACAAACTTCTTGAGAGGCTGATGTTCGTTGTTTCTGATAATCATTATGATATTTTTCCATGGTCTTGTTTATTCAGAGTTGATCGAGTCCCTCTAGAGAAAGAAATACGCTGGAGCCAATGCGGCTGCATGCTACTGTTGTACAACTGAAACCTTCTTTCCTAACCACGCCCGAGACAAACAATATCCTCTATTTCGACTGTCTTTCATAACGACACAGGGAAGAACCTGACATACATCTCGGGCTTATCAAAGAAGCCATGGTGAATCAAGCTTTTTTCCAGATCAAATCGTTGCCCCTCCACTTCAACCAGGTCAAACGACCAGAGAATTTTGGCCAAGAACATTCGAGCCTGTGTCCATGCCATTTCTCTACCCATGCATATTCTCGGACCGAGGCTGAATGGGTAGAGGCTCTTAAGGTGATCATTGGCAAAGGCTGGGTCGTATAGTGGATGAGAAGCAGGGAGCCACCGTTGTGGCCTGAAGTGGAGTGGCTCATGGAAGTAGTCCGGGTGACGTGCCAGAGCCCAGATGCAAGACTGTACGTGGGTCTTCAAGCCGACGATTTAGTATATCTCATAGTCAGAAGTATCTCATAGCTGGTAGTGGCCTGTTGAAGGGAAGCTGAAAGGGGGAAAGGGAAAACTAAAATGACACTTACACCTTTAGGTATGTACTGTCCATCCACCATGGCCCCTGGGCTGATCCGGGGCAAGCCTGTATTGTTGCTTGGGAGCATGCGCAGCGTCTCTTCGATACAGGCATGGAGGTAAGGTAGGGTCGTCAACGTTGGTCCAGGCTTGATGTCGCTGTAATTCGAGAAACTCTCCCTGATCTCTTGGGTCAAGAGTTTATGAGTTTCGGGATATGTGAGCAAATGCACAATGACGCCGTAAAACAGATCTCCCATGGGGCCCCAGCCAGCGAACATGACTTGCAATGCGACGGATCCGATATGAAGAAGCTCCTTTTGGTCCTTGGGGTAGGGAGCATCTACTGGTAGTATATGATCAAAGTAGTCTGGATGATCCGTACGACCTCGTTGATCTAATTGACGTGAGGGTGAGTACGCGATAGTCAACCCCAATTTTCTCTTCCTCGAAAACAGAAAGATGTGGTAGTGGGGGGAGGGGGGGTAATATGAAGAAATGAAAGGATACCATACCGATACGGCGGCGCACACTATCCGACGTCGCCTTCTCCATCTGGGAGAACAACGTAATCTTTCCGAAGGGTGCAAACAGGTATTGAAGTGGTCTGATGAAAGGGAAACGCTTGAACACTTGAAGCACGGTCGCGAATGAGTTGAAATTGAGCAACACATCAAGGTTCACCGAGTTTTTCACTATTTGCCTGAGTTAGTATGCCGAAGAAAGAAGCTGTCGCCTTCCGGGGAAGGGCAGGAGTGTGTGGCTTTACTGTCTCTCATCTGGTGCATTTTCTCATTCCACGCCAGGTCGGCAGCCATATCCATAGCTAGCCAGTTTGTCCATGTCACCAGTGGAACGCTGATGGTCTTGCGGTCGAGATTGACCTCGGTCATCCTGGCCACGAAGTAGTCCAGATACTCGTGGATGATGGGCTCAAAGGTGCGCAAGGAGCGGCTGCTGAAGGCCGGGGCGACCTGCCTGGCCACGTTCCGGTGGCGAACGGGGTCCTCCTCCCAGATCAGGCCGCCGAGGTCTTTACCGCGGTTCTGGAAGTTGGTCTTGACAAAGTCCTCCATGTTCTTGTGCTGCGGCGAATAAATGTCTGTGAAGGCCTGGGGCGTGAAGAAGGCGAGCTCATTGGGTGCGATTCTGACGGCTGAGCCATAGTTGTGCAGCGTCTTCTCGACCGCCCAGGGCCACCGTCCGGATAACCAGTGGTAGGCATACCATAGGTTGGTAACGGCGGCAAGCCGCGGTCCCGGGAAACGGGAGAGCGGATGAAAGTACAGCAGGTAAATAACGCGCGTACACGCGTAGGCGGCGATCTGTGCAGGATGTTAGTCATGACATTATCGGCTGCTACCTAGGTATCAATAGAAGCAGAGAGGAACGCACAGCGCTGAAGACGGCGGTGGCCAAAGTGGTGGCGCTCACGCCCGAGAGGTCCATGATAGACTGCGAAGGCATTGTTGATGCTAGCCAGCTGGCGAGTTTGACGTTCGGTTCGGTTTAGACTACGAGCGAATTGAAAGTGTTGCGTTCAAAGCCCTAGCGAAGATCATAGGAGGACATCAGCACCAAAATGAAAGGTCCTACATAGAACAAAAGAGTGGCGTGGTGCTACTTACCGGTGTGCGCTCGGCTAGCAATCGACCTTCAAGTTGGCTGCAGACAGGCAGCGATGGGGCCGTATTGATTGATTACTTAAGTAATTCAGGCTGCAGCAGGGGCAAGGGTGTCCTTAGCGAATACATGATTAAAATAGGTCAATGTACAAACTTGATGTACTTCTGCTGCTCTGGAAGCATGCAGGCATGCAAGTGCTGCCAACATTCATCTATTCGACGTGATGCATTTAGAGCTGTCTCACAAGCCTCGAGCCTCAGCCTTGTTTTCCTCCCATCGTGTGAGGAGTCCCAGCGCTCCTTTGACGATTCTCACTCGACTGCACTGAGGAGAAAAAGATTTAAACCACCCTAAAGTACCTAGGTATTGTGCACACTTTGCCTGGAAGTTGCCCAGCCATTATACAAGTCCAGAGAAACTAGGTACATACTTAAGTAGGCACCTACTCTGCAGTTAATTCTCAGAGTAATTTGTACGTGAAAGGTAAACAGGGGATAGTGTACTAGTCTTTGAGTATTGACAGCTGCTATGTTTCGACATATTGTGGTGGTATCTAAGTGTCGCTAAATTACATATGTAACAGGACGCCATCACACGACCAACGGTGACAGAGATGTCCTCTACCTGATATCCTGGATATGCAATCAAAACTTCTGAAGGATCTATGGAGCAAAGGTCATCTGGAAACTAGCAAAACGGCCGTTGGAATGAATAGAAAAGGATCCGGGGGTGTTTGCATACTTATTACACAGTGGTAAACGCTCAATCGGCTTATAAATGCAACTAGTCCGATGCGGCCTGTTGCCTGTGCAGCATGCGGTGCAGCGACAGTACGTTAACACCGTCGCTTCCAATCGCGTACATAATCAGTAGACCTTGCCCCTCACCAAGACCTCGTATCACCACATGCACCCACTGGCAGGAAATACCACGGACAACAACACACCCACACAGGCACCACCCCCGAGATCAACATGACTTCCACGGCACAAAAGACCCTCTTCCTCGTCGGGCCGGGCCTGATCGGCGGCTCACTCCTGGTGAAGCTCAAGGAGGCGAGGCCAGACCTGAAGCTCCACGCCCTCACGCGCCGGGACGACCAGGCCGCCGAGCTCAAGGAGCAAGGGATCGAGCCGGTGCGGGGCTCGCTCGAGGACGAAGACACCATCAAGGAGTGGGCGGCCAAGAGCGACATCATCATCCACACGGCGTCCGCCGACGACGACAAGGGCGCCTTCGCCATCGTCGAGGGCCTCAAGGCGCGGCCAAAGGGCTCCAAGCGCGCCATCTACATCCAGACCAGCGGCAACGACGAGCTGGTCAACTCGGCCGCGGGCCTCGGTGCCAAGTCGGTCGGGGACAAGACCCTGTCCGACCTGCACCTGACGGACGAGGAGATCGACGCGCGCATCAGGCCGGACGCGTACCACCGCCACGTGGACGGGCACCTGCGGAAGGAGATCCTCAACCCCGAGGCGGAGAGGGAGCACAACGTCGTCGCGAGCCTGATGATGCCGCCCCTGATCTACGGCATCGGCTCCAGCCCCTGGAACCGGATCTCGATCCAGACCCCGATGCTGACGTCGTTCATGATGAAGAACGGGCTGGTCGCGCTGCCGGAGGGGTTTCAGGGCGCGTGGAACTGCGTGTGGGTGCACGACCTCGTGGACCAGTACGTCGTGCTCCTGCAGCACCTCGAGAAGCTTGAGCCGGGGCAGCAGAAGACGCACTACGTCTTCCCTGCCGAGAGGAAGCCGTTCTCGTGGAAGGAGCACTTCGATGCTGTCGCGGGGGAGCTGAGGAGGCTGGACCACCCGGCTGCAAGGGCCAACGGCGGCAAGCCCAGGGAGCTGAAGACGAAGGAGGAGTTCATCGAGTTCGTTGGTGGCAAGGACAACCCCTACAGCGAGTGCTTTGGCTACATTGTGTGGGGCACTGAGAACAGCTACACCAGCCCTGAGTAAGTCACGTCTCGAGCACGGCGACTCCTGTGCTTGTTTCCTGTCGTTTTGTATGTCGTGGCTGGCGGACTGACATCCTCGATAGCCTCACTGCGAGCCTCGGGTTCAACCACAAAGCTAAGGGTGTAGTGGACAGCATTGTCAACGGCAAGGAGCTGGAGAAGTTCATCAAGGAGCAGACCAAATGAGCAGCACTGCAGGCAAGCCTTGGTATTCAACTTCGAAAGGAGCTGGACCGTGTTGTGTGCACTGCTGACTTGGCACTGGCTTACCTGTGGGCCTGAACATTGGACGCCGGCTTAAGCAGTCGAGAAAAGGAATTTCACGTAAAACCAAGGTCAAGAAAAGATGATTCTGTGGACCTGGCCGACTGAATAAATCCAATATCTGATGAAGTCGTGGTGCGCCCAGCCTCCGGAACAAAAGTTGATATGCATCTGATTGTTGAAATGAGCTTTGCAAGATTGATTTTGTAAGCTTGATTTAAGTGAGGTAAAAACAATTGTCATTATGAATTGCCATGCAAATGCTATAGCGCCGTGAATGGAACGAGACATGCATCCATGACCTCAACTACACACCTGGGTATTGCTTACATAAGCGTCAGATCGGGATTGAACCTTGCAGACATCAAAGTCCTCACTCACCATGTTCGGGCTCGTTCTTGTGGAGGACCATATCCAGCCCCCAACACAGCCTGCGCCCCAGCCAGTGATGCTTTAATGGCCCCCCTGAGCCGGACATTATGGCGTCTGAAAAGCCAGGCAGGCTCCCACGCCGCCCCCCTCTCACGATGTGCCGCTCCTAGCAGGCGAGGCATCTCAACCTCAAACTCAACCTCGACCTCCACCACAACCTCAACGTCAACCAGCAGCTGGCACGCCCAGACCTCAGAGGCCTCAAGCCGCGTCCAGGTCTACACCTCGCACAGCCGCGACCCCTATCTGAACCTGTCAGCAGAGCACTTCCTCCTGCAAAACTCGCACCCAGAGTCGACGGTGCTGTTCCTCTACACCAACGACCCCTGCGTCGTCATCGGCCGCAACCAGAACCCCTGGCTCGAGGTCAACCTGGCCCAGCTTCGGCGGTTCGCAGCAGCCCCCCTGGTCCGCAGGCGCTCGGGCGGCGGCGCCGTCTTCCACGACACCGGCAACGTCAACTTCAGCGTCATCTGCCCGCCGCAGGCCTTCGACCGCAACAAGCACGCCGAGATGGTCGTCCGCGCGCTGCGGGGGCTGGGCGTCGCCACGGCGCGGGTCAACGAGAGGCACGACATCGTCGTGGACCGACAACCACCACCACAACCAACACCACAACCACCATCCCACACCAGCACCAGCAGCAGCAGCAGCAGCACCAAGACGTTCAAGGTCTCCGGGTCCGCCTACAAGCTCACCCGCCTGCGCTCCCTGCACCACGGGACCTGCCTGCTCGCCTCGCCCAACCTGGCCCGCATCGGCCGCCTGCTGCGCTCCCCCGCCGAGCCGTACATGAGGGCCCGCGGCGTCGAGAGCGTGCGCAGCCCGGTGTGTAATGTTGGCTTGCCCGTGTCGGAGTTCGTGGCGGCTGTGCGGCGCGAGTTTGTGGGGATGTATGGCGCCGCTGATCTCGATGTGGAGCTCGGCGGCGGCGCTGACTTTGCGCATGAGATGATCCAGAGGGGTTACAGGGAGCTTACTGTGAGTTGGCATGTCCTGCGTTGTTGATGATGCTTTGGAGTGTGTGTGTGCGTGTGTGTGGGTTGTTTGCTGATGTGTTCTGAATCACTGCTGTGGTGCAGTCCCAAGAGTGGATCTACAACCAGACGCCCCTGTTTACATTCTCGACCCATCCGTCCGAGGACGACCCCAGGGAGAGACCACCTCTCCCACCGGGTCTGCCAAAAGATGTAGGTGCTTTCATCCAGGGTGTACACGGATCCTCTGATTTGAGAATACATGACTGACATGGCATGCAGTTCCGCGCAACAATCACCGCGCGCCATGGGCAGATCCAAGAGGCCGACCTGTCCGGCTTCGACGGCTCCGCCCTCCGGGGCCAGCACCTTCACACCATCGCCGACTGGCGGCATGTCCTGTCACACAGCGGCAGCGGCGGCGCATCAGAGCAGGTCGGCCGGTGGTTCAACGACTTGTTTGGCATAGGCGACACCACGTGATCGCCATAGGATGGATACCATTTCTTCAATACATCTGCACGCTCCATAGACAACAAAACCAATATGATGATACCCCCAACCCGCTTCCATGCTACCACGACCATCATCCCCCTCTCACGAAGCCCCAATGTCCATGCTGTCCCTGAAAAACCTGCCGTGTGCCCTGCTTATTCCAGGTTCTGCTGCACATTCATCACACCACGCCCATACCACTCCGCGACGGTAGCAAAGCGGTCCTCGCTCCGCTCGAGCTCATCCTTGAACAGCTCATGGCGGTCGGCGTTCTCCTCCTGGCCCCGCTTGATGGCCCGAATGGTGGCGTTGTTCTGCGCGCAGAGCGGGCACTCGCCCTCGACGCCGTCTCCGCCGCGCAGGCACCGCTGGTGGAAGCTGTGCCTGCACAGGAAGTGCACGGCGGGGAGGTCCAGCACCTGCGTGCACACGGGGCACCGCGTGGCCTGGAAGACGGCGGGCTTGGCGCCCAGGTCCGCGATCTCGGCCCGGCGCTGCTCCGTCTCGGTGCGGAACCCGGCCACGCGCCGCCGGTTCGACGCGATGTCCTTGCGCTCGCGCTCGATCGTCTCGTGCAGGTACGGCTTGATCATGCCCATCGTCGCCACCGCGTTCTTGGACAGCATCTGCACCACCTGCAGCGGCGCCATCAGCCCGTCCTTGTCGATCGTGCTGAGCACGTTGGCCAGCTCGTCCAGCCCCGCCTCGTCGAGCACCCGCGAGTCTGACGTCAGGTACGCCAGCGCCGCGGGGTACAGCGAGGGCTCCTGCGGGCCGTACTTGCGCAGGGCCTTCATGGCGCCGCGCGTGTCTTTGGCCGAGGTGTAGGAGCGGAAGATATCCGACAGGAGGCCGGCCTGCTCCTTGACCAGGGTTGTTCCGTCCTGGAATTCGGAGAGATGCGACAAAAGCAACACATTGGAGTTCTCTATAGGCGCCCCCCGGCCTTCGATGAGCTTCTTGGCCTTTTGCTCCCACTGCTCTCGGTCGTGCTCGCTCTTCACCTCTGTAGACTTGTGCAGGTACATCTCAAATAGGGTTGTGTTGAGGTCGGCCTTGTTCTCCTCCGATATGCTCTCATCTTCAAGACATGCTTCGAGGAATATGATGAATTCGTCAGGGTGATCTATGAAGGATGAGAACGCTGTTCGGGGTGGCGGTGCGGTGTATTTTGGAGGCGGCGCGTCGTCTGGATCAAGCAGCACAGCCCCATCGCTCACAGTGGGCTCTATATTCCCTTGTGTCGGAGGCGAGGCAACCGCGGACGAGTTCATATATGGCAGAGGGAGAAGGTTGGACAGGTTCTGGACGGCGCTCACTGCACCAGCTGCGAAGCCGCCACCTGATGCCGGGGTCTCGATGGTATCAGCGTTGCGCACCCTGGGGCGGTAGTTTCCAGTATAATAATCGATAAACATCTGCGTCGAGCCCTTTGGACAGTGCTCGATGAGCACCCGGGCATATTTCATCAGGCATGGGTAAGCCTGGACTGTATCAGCGTCACATTCTCTCTCTGAGCGCACGTGGCCAGAACTCACCGTTTGGGGATCAAGACGCCAGATAAAGGCAAGGGCCTCCTTATAGTCCTTCAGATCCTCAATCAGAATGTCCACCACCAGGTCGTTTTCCCCGTGCTTTTTGGCGAGGTAGGCAGCCTGTTCGAAGTAGCCACCTTGCCTGCACATCGTTATTGCTGTGTCCAGATCAAACTTTAGCTCCCCGGGTTGCTTGATGAACGCCTCCAACTTTTCGATATCTTTCAGTTTTGCATAGCAGTTCAGCAGGAGTGTGGTGTGGTCTGAGGTGGCTTTCCCGTGCTCGTGAAGTTGCTCCAGATACTCGATGAGGTTGTGTATCCTCTGCGTGTCCAGGAACTTCCTAATAACTTGTGACGGCTCCATATTGTCGATCGCCTTGATGTATTGAGCCATGGCTTGATCGTACTCCCCTTTTTGATACAGGTGATCGCCGTACCTGCGGAAAATGACATTCTGTTGTTGAGTATCCAGACCCGCGGTCTGCGCAAGGGATATCGCGAAGGGGTAGAGATTCCTCTGGTAAAGCAATTCCAACCTCTGCTGCAGCGTCTTCTCGTGATATTTGTAGACCTTCCCGTCCTGCGTCAACGTGTACAGGTCACCCCACAGCTCGAAAACCGCGAGCACCTTGGAGATCAGAGTCTCGGTGTGTGCAATGACCTTCAGGTCAGGCTCGAGCAGGGAGAAGGTCGAGGCGTTGAAGATGGCGTCCGCAGCGCCCCCGCCGAAGCGCCGGCGCAGTTGCCCTGGGCTCACAGCCGTCTTTGGTGGCGACACAAGCGCGACGTACTGGTTGAACACGGTCACCAGCTCCTTGGGCGAGTCGTATGCCTTGGGAGGGCCTCGTCCTTCGGCCTTGTAGTAGTAGATCGCATCGTCTCTTGCGACGACAATGCTGCCGTCCCTCTTATCCACCGCCATACATCCCACGCCGCACCCCTGGTCCTCGACTGTTTTCGGTGGCTGGCCTTGTCCCTTGCCAGAGATGGTCAGCTTGAGGATGCGAGATACAGTCGAGATAAAGAGGGTGGTCAGCCTTTCGTCGACCCGGAGTTCGACCCCGGTGATGGGCTCCTCGGACTCGTAAACGATTCGTTGCTTGGTGCCGCGGTCGTTGATCAGGTCGCCCCGTATGACCGTGACAGCGCCGTTCGCGAAGCCGACGGCGATCTGGGACAAGTCTTCTGTCGCGGCAAAAGCCGACACCTGTAGCTCTTTCAGCCATGCAATGCAACCAGTTGTAGTTATGACCCGGGGTGGTCACGCACGGGAAACTGCTTCCTCCCATTGTAGATGGTCACGCTGCTCAGGCAGGTGGGCATGCCGGTCTTCTTGACCGGCTTGTCCAGAGCCCAGACCTTCAGCACGGGCTCGGCGCTGAGGTCCTCCCCGACGGTCACCAGCAGGCTCGTCCCCTCGACCTGGCGCATGTGCGAGATGCGGACATTGTCGTGGGCCTGGAAGCTGCGGACGATGCGCCAGCTGGGGCCGACGATGCGCACGTGGCCGTCGGAGCTGCCGAGGAAGAGGCTGTCGGAGCCGGAGCAGACGCTGGAGATCTCGTGGCCTTCGAAGAAGGAGCGCGTCTCGTCGTCGTCGGCGAGCTTGACCTGGCTGACGTCGAAGAAGTCGAAGGATTTCCACTGTGCGCGCAAGGCGAGAGGTTAGACCTTCTTGAATGCGTTGCGGAAGGGTGTCAGTGCAAGTTGAGGACATACAGAGAGAGCCATGGTGTGCCTATCGTTGCCTCCGTGACAACGAGCTGGGCGCCAGTCGCATAGTCGTTCGAGAGGCGGGGAGGTGGTGGCGGTGGTGGTGTCGACTGGTCCGGCTGTGCTGGGGACGAGTGACGACGAGCTCCCACCTGGCGATTGCTGATAGCAGCAGCTCCCGCTGCGGCACCGTGCCTTAGCGTGGCGCGAGCTGGTGATGCAGTGGCTGCAGGGGTGTGGAGCCTGGAAGCCTTGGCCTGATGCAGCTCCAAACTGGGGCTCTCAACGGTCGAGTTACACAACAATCCGGCAGTGCACATGTGCAGCTCATCATCAACAAGGCCTCGCAGATGATCCGACATAACTTTACACTCATGCCCGACTCTTGATCCTGAACATTCAGAATATCTCTATTTTGTCAATATGCCCCATCCTCTCCTGGTGCTGGAAACCACCCTGGGGCAGCCACATTCGATGTTGTTTACTGGGTCTTTATGTGGCTCCATTTGACAGCGTGTACACGTCTCAACTGCACCATGTCGTTAAAATGTCGTATCCAGTGTCCCAAGTCACCAATACTATGGATGGATCGGCCAGGATCCTGTGTCTATGTGGGCTTTTACGTCGCACAGTCACTCGATAGGGGGAAGCAGATGAAGTGAGTCAAATCGTCTTTTTTTTTTGGTACTCAGTTCATACTATTTACGTGGGTATTTACAGGTCGTGAAGTATGTATAGGAAAACGTCTTGGGATTCTCCCTGCCCACTGCCTGTTGCCAACCCCTACTTTCCCGGAAAACCCGGCCAAGGAGCTCCTTAGGCGAACTGGCCCTTCATCTGTCCAGTGACATTAGGGTTCTTGACGATGTACGCGCCACGCTCGATCGTGTTGACGAGGATGTTTCCGGACGGGTATCCGGCGTAGTGCGACCAGGTACCGGTGAAGGCGACTCGGCCGCCGCCGGGCTGGTTGTCGTCATCCGGGAACACGTCGAAGAAAGCCACCTCCTTGATGCCCTTGCCGGTCGGGTCGCGGGGCACAGAGGACACGTCGAGGACGCGGAGACCCGCGCCGTAGTTGGACTGGAAGGACAGGCCGTTGTACACGTACTGGTTGTGGTCGATCGACCTCACCGTCGACTTGTACTGACCGGTCTGCTTGGGCGCACGGAGGTCGCGGATGTCCCAGACATAGGTGACGGGGAACCCGTCGGCCGCAGTCCCGGCGCCATTTTGCTCGTCGAGTTCGTCATCTAGGAGAAGGTACTCCTGGTTGTTGGGGTCCAGGACCACGCCTTGGTGCGTGTAGGATGCGCCAGTGTAGCTGGTGGTGGAGATGATGGTGGCGGCGGCCTTGTTCGTGACGTCGTAGATGGTGAGGGTGTCCTCGTTGTATCCGTAGCAGATATCGCGTCCGGTGTACCGGGTGTCCGGTCCTCGGTAGACCAGGCACTGGGCGTCGTGGACATAGCCATCACCGGGGGCACAGCCCGGGGTCGTGGGGCTGGCAGGGTTCGACAGGTCGATGAAGATCAGACCCGACCTGCACCTGTCTGTGCGAGGTTGTGCGCCGACTGCAACGGCGAAGTTCTTCTCCTCGAGGGAGACGACATTGTGGGTGCGACCACTGGGGAGGCTGTTGAAGAGCGAGATGTCGCTGGTGGTGCTGAAGGTCTTGGGTGAGGTGACCGTCAGGAGCTTGCGGGCGTCGAAGATCTGGACACCGTGGTTCGCCGCCTCAGATCCGATCACGAAGTAGTTCTTAACCGTTCGGATCTCGCGCCACTGCGAGGTGACTGATTGCTGGGGGAGACGACCAAGGTAGGTGATCCGACCCTCCTTGGAGATCTCGATGAATGCAGTGCCATCAGCCTGGCCGATAGCACCGAACTCACGTCCGTCCGGAGATGTCCAGCCCCAGGAAGAGGAACCCGAGCCGCTGCTGCTCCCCAGCTCAGCGTGGGTCTTGAAGTCTTGCAGATCAAGGTTGCTGCAGCGGAATGTCTGCAGGCGGTCGCCTGGGACGACAACAGCCTGGCCGTTGACACACTTGACGGGGGCAGGGAGAGTCTGGAAGAGCTGGGTCTGGTTGTATGCTCCGTCGGCGCGGCGTTGCTCCCACTCGTCCTGTTTTTATGTCAGCTTTGGGACGATATATCAAATATCTCGAAGGGCAGGACCATACCATCTTGTAGTGCATGACGGCGTCATGAACTCTTCCGGACTGGTACATCTCGTGGGTGATTTCGCTCTCGCCAAGGAGGGTCTTGAGCGAGACAGCCGCAGCCATGGCCGGAGCCAACAGGGTCAGGGCGTACTTCATGATGGGTGATTAGGAATACAGGAAACACCGATACTGAAGGGACGGAGCGAATGTGTGGTGATGCGGTGAGGAACGAAGTCGTAGTCGAGCAAAAGGATGAAGAGGGAATGTTTGCCTTAAATCAGTTCCGGATGTTGTTGTTCTACATTGTGCAATACGGGGCAGTGAGTCTTACCTTCCTCGCAGAGATAGCGCCTGCAGAGGCACCTGGGCACACAAAGGCTTAATTGTGACCTTCTCTTAAGGAAAGAGCAATGCCACCTGCGTATTCCTGATGAAGCAGGTCAAGCCTACGATAAGCTGGAAGGTTCAATGTAGATATCTTGGCTTTGACTTGGCTTTGCCTTGGCTTCATTTATCCCGCCCGCCTCGGCCAATTGGGCGGCTCGCTGCGTTCAGACGCCATCATGGCCTTCTCTGCTATCAGAGTTATACGACTTCGTAGTGGTCCTGGAATAGTCGAAAGCCGGTTGAGTGGAACTGCTACCACTTACAGCCCTGATGCCTGTCAATATTATGATAGCGCTATTGACACGCCACAGCTCACGAGTTGCCAAAGTCGCCCATTGTTGGGGACGTCGGACATTTTACCATGGGCCGGTGAGGTCGCACTGCTTGCGAAAGAGCGTTGTATCGAAGACATCTTGTGCTAATTTTGGCCTAGTCTGCTGCAATTCGGGCCATGCAACTCGGGGACATCTTTCCCGCTTGAACCGCTCTGCCGAGATCCAAGAAGACTTTACAGCATGAGTGGATCCAATGTTTTTCTGGGCGGTTGGCATAGGTCTTGGGCCATGGCTTGGCGTGACCTTGCAAGGAAGGAGGAAATGAAGGGGCAGGCCCAGATACAACCTTGGAAGTTGCTATGCACATATCGTGTTCGTCGTGTCGTCACTAGTATCTGGTTTTCGAAAGTATTCCGGCGTGTGAAAGGCGTGAGCTGGAGTTGCCTTCCGAAGGTTCCGCCAACCACGCTCATTCGTACAGCTTTTGATGACAAAACTGTACAGGAAGTCATGTTGCACTCCGATAAACATACTTAAGTAGGGAGGAGAGAGAAACGTCATTGCAGTGCAGAACATGGTAGCCCAGTGTCAGCTAGAGCAAATGCTTGAATGCTGATCTCCCAAGTGGATCGTCACACATCACGGAGTCATGTGATAGAATGTCTGATGCGCCAGGACTCGACGATCAGTTGATTGGGTAACATTTTAAACTGTGCCAATGCCGCCGGACGACCATCTACTTGAGTGGTGAAATATTGAATTCAAAGTGATGGACCAAGTTCGCTTTCCCGCTGCATGGTACGGAGCACTGCGTACCTGTAGCGGTGGCCAGCCTCTCGAGTCTAGAAGGCACTGGAACAGGGGCCTAAAGTCAAAATAGTCCCGATATGGCCATATGGGCAGAGAGAAGGGTTAGGGTCGAATAAGAAAGATGTGGTAAGATACCTCCCTGATGTACTGTAGACTGCTGGAGCACAAGGTATCTACTAGCCTCCGCCCTATCTTGCCCGCTGAATGAAGTGCCGCTGCCTGCCCCACACGCCGACTCCTGCCTGCATCATTCCTTCACTCACTCACCTTACCCAACCAAACCTTAAAGTGACCTTGGGCTGAGCCTCAAATCAGCAACCCACCAGCCCTGATACTCAACTACCATCGCCGCTGCAAATCCATCATCAAGCCTTACTCATCCAAGATACCCTCATACACAAAGTCGCACCACAAGATCAGCGACTCATCATGGGATCCGTCGTGCTTCCCCACCTGCCATCAGGCTGGCACGTGGACCAAGCAATTCTTTCAGGTGCGTCTCACGCTGACTCCGCCCGTCTCAGCATCACATACTAACGACCATCACAGAGGAAGACCGTCTCGTCGTCATCCGCTTCGGCCGTGACCATGACTCAGACTGCATGCGGCAGGACGAAGTGCTGTACAAGATCGCCGACCGCGTCAAGAACTTCGCCGCCATCTACCTCTGTGACATCGACAGGGTGCCCGATTTCAACAACATGTACGAGCTGTACGACCCCTGCACAGTCATGTTCTTCTTCCGCAACAAACACATCATGTGCGATTTCGGAACAGGTAACAACAACAAGCTCAACTGGGTCTTGGACGACAAGCAGGAGCTCATCGACATCCTCGAGACCGTGTTTCGGGGTGCCAAGAAGGGCAGAGGTCTCGTCGTGAGCCCCAAGGATTACAGCACGAGACATCGCTATTGAGTTGTGGCCTCACACCTAACAAATATTCTGGAGTCGGGTTGGAGTCGGGCAGGAGTCGGGTACCCAGACAGACGCCACTTCAACATTCGAGTGAGGTGAAAATGGGCTGCAATTTCGGGATCATTTCGCCAGCCACGAGACTGTTGGCTTGGAATGGCGGCAAACGGATAGACCACTTGGGTGTGTGACAGCTAAGCAATGAGACAAATAGCATTCTCCGGGGAACACCCGCTAATGAAAGCCCTCCAGTACGACATTCTAGGGCCCCGGCGCCCAGTGACCTGCATTCCACCCTCTGGCATTCACGATTGTTTACTTTGCTTTATCATATCCCCCAACTCCTTCATGAGCTCCTCAGACTGCCCACTAATGTTGTCCAGGAACGCCTCATGCTTCATGCCCTCCCACATCTCCTGGATCTGCCCCTGGACCGCCGAGCTCAGAGGCCCCTTGCGGACGGCCGCAACTGTCTTCCTCAGCTGCTCCGGGCTGGACGCCCCGACAATGACCGCGTCGCCCTTGGACCCGTCCAGGATCGAGTTGTGGAACACCCAGCGGAAGGCCATCTCCGACGCGGGGATGCCTTCAGATGCTGCGATCTTGTTCCACGTGTCCAGGGCACCGAGCATGGCGGGCCGACTGCCATAGAGACCTTGGGAGAGTTTTCCCAGGAAGCTCGAGGGGTCCCACCGCCCCTTTCCCTCCTTAATCCCCTCTGTGGTCTTGGCTAGGAACCCTCCGGCTATTGGGCTGTAGGCGTAGAACGCGACTAGCATGGGTTGGTCAGCTGTCTTGCTTCACCCAGTGAGCTTCGCACCGGGACGGACTACCATGCCGATATTGAAATATAGGCATGTTGATAGAACAGCGCAGTGACACCTGTTTCGAGTATTGAAGCCGCAGGTACACAGATGCTTGACACTTTTCTCAATGGGCGTCACTTACTGTTGTTCTCGCGGAGGATGGGGAAGAGCTGAGACTCGGCCAGACGCCCCACGGCGTTATAGTTTCCCTGGTACACCGTCGGAAGCACAAAGCCCCGTTCCCGGCAAATCCGTAGGACTTCATTCGTCTGTTCTGGGCTGAAGTTTGAAAGGCCGAACCTCCGGAATGCTCCGGATTTGTAGAGGGCGTCGATGCCCTCCAGCGTTTCCGCAAAGGGGAGACGAGTGTCTGGGACATGGATGTAGTAAACATCGACCTGCGGTAAACGCAATCAGCCTTTTGCAAAACACACCGTAGACCGGGAAACCAATTCTCATTTGCTCAGGTGGCGTAGACACAGACCTGCGAAGTGCGGAGCTTCTCCAAGCTATTCTTCCCGGCAGCAACCACGACATCTTTGGTCGAGGGCTCGGGGCTCATGGCGCCCGGGGCTTTGGTATCGATCGTGAAGCGACTGGCTGCCTTTGCCTCTCCAAGAAATTGCTCGGACTTGCCGTAGATTGCAGATGTATCTATGATCTTGATGCCATGCTCCTCGAGGACGCTTAGGTATTCCTGAACATCTTCGCTGCTCTTAAATTCCGGGGCCATAAATATGCCGCCCCCAAAAGCAAAATTCGGTGTCGCCATGATTGAAATGATATGATGGGAGTGGGATTTAGATTTTTCGAGTTGTGAAGACTCGTGATGAATACTGAATCTAGAAGTTTGAGTCAACTGGTATGTCACCGACGACATTGCTGATATCACCACCTGCGGGGAAGGAAATTTATATTACGGTGTATAATAAGCCACTAACTAGGTCCGTCAACTCGTAACATCCTGCCTCTTGGTGATCCGAAAACCTTGCTGCCTGGCTTCCTACGCACTTAATTGAAACCTACCACAGAGGCTAGTCTGTCCGGCATCCCGAAGATGGCAAATGCAGGGGATTAAGAACGAACCACCATGGCAAATGCCGCTTGACCGCTCTCACATTTGCTGAGTGCGCTAGTGCAAGCCCCACGGGCCTCTGAGCGAGTCCCGATGAGTCGGACGGAGCGGCCGCTAGTAAAGGATCATACGGATGATGGCCAAAAGTGTGTCTGTCGCTGACTGTTCTCAACCTGTCGTCCTGCCAGTGCAGGAGTTTTGATTTGGCAGCAACAGAAAGTCTCCGAGGACAAGGATCATGCTTACCCCGAAGATTTCCACTCTCGATTTGTTGTGCTACACGATGACGAACTAAAAATGCCTTGTATTTTGCTATCATAATAGTTTCTTTGGCACGATTCGGCCACTCAGCCGGCAGACGTTCCTTGTGATGAGACCTGCGGTCCCAACCCCAAGGTCACAACGACTACTTTCAAGTGCGTGAACCATAATCCTAAGAATCCACATGAACTTAATCGGTCGTGAAATGTGGTTATCAGGTTCCTTGTCACATTCTTCAGCGCTTTCGATGATGAAAATGACGAAATGATATTTTGTGGCCATGTGAATCCTCCCGGCAACTCGGATACCTCCCTCGATTCCTGTCCCACATGTATACTGAGGTAGATGAAAGACCAAGTGCTGGAGCTTTGAGGGACAAAAGGAAGCACAACACATTCCCTAATATCTCTTCCTCTCAGGTTTTTGCCTTGTCTCTTTCCTATTCCGTATAGGTCCGAACCCATTAGCAGCGCCCCCATACAGTGTAACTCAGTGTTAACTAGTAACAATTGATCCGAACAGATACCGTACATGCAGACAGAAGTCAATCGTAGTTCTTAATGTTCGCAGAAACAATCTTGAGTGCTCCTCGCGGGCCTCGGGAATTAGAAAGCCAGATCGTCCTTTTGCTATAAAATACCTGAATATTCGTCCGTTAAGCTAATCTGCCCTTCAGTCTAGAATAGTTGTAAGGTTAGAGTTTTACTATAATTATAGTATGAGGGTGTAAACCTAAGATAAGCTTTCTTAAGTAAGGCTTAGCTTATTTAAACTTATTTAATATAAAAAGATACTTTATATTAAGATATACTTATAGCTCGAATTTTAAGACTATATAATTAAACTTTAAATTAATATACTTATAATTTAAAATTTAAAATTATTAAATTAAAATATGGAAATAAAGAATTAAGCTAGTTTATATATATTATTTATAATTAGTTTATTAGTTATATTATATTATAATTTTATACTTTAATTAATATTTAATTAATATACTTTCTTTAACTATTAAATAATAATTAAATAGTTATATATATTAAAATATTTAATTAAAAGAATAAAGTTATAATTATAAATTAAATATTTTATATTATTTTTAATTTATAATATTAATTTAATTAATATAATTTTAATACTTTATATTTTATTTTAATTTAATTTATATAATATTAAAGTTATATTTAAAATTAATATAACTTTTAAAAGTTAAAAATAAAATAATATAAATAATTATTTTATATTAATATATTAGTATTTAAAATAATAATAATATTTAAAATATAATTAATATTAATATATAATACTTATAAGTTTATATTAAAATTAATTATAAATAAAAGTTAATTAATTAGTTATTTAATTAAAAAGATTAATTAAAATTAATTATAAAATTATATTAATTAATAATAAAAATACTAATTAATATTTATAATATTATTTTAATAGCTATTAGTAATAGCCTTAGATATAAACTATATAAATAGGTACCTCTCCCTTAAAGAACTTTTAAAGAAATTTATCCCTCCTTATTCTTATTTAATTAGTACCTAGAAGTGACTCTTCTATCCTCTTACTTACCCGTGGTAAGTTAACCGTTAACTATAAGGTCGGGGGTGAAGGGCTCCTAGCCCTAGGTACGATGTTCTCGCCCCCGGCTTTAGTATAACTAGTTTTAATAGGAAAGTAATAACTAGTTAGTGACTAATTAAGTAGTTTTTAAAAGTGAAGTAACTATTTTAGAAAATAAATAGTTAAGAAGTAATTATTATATATTTAAAAGAAGTATAATTAGTTTTAATAGCTTTAATATAACTATTTATAAATTAAAAATATTATTAAAAGGGCTTTACTTTATATAAAGTTTTATAGTATTAATATAGGTAGATAAGTAATTATAAAGGTTAGATTCTTAAAAACTAAAAGTATTTTAAAAAAGAGTACTTTAAATATTTAATATATAGTTAATAAAGTTATATATTAATATTAATATTTTTATTTTTAAAAGAGTAAGTAATTTAAAAGATTTATTACTTTTATTTACTTAATTAAATAAATAATCCTTAAAATAAAATATTATTTTTAATTATTTAATTAAATAAATAATTTAAAATATTATTACTTTTAAAATTTAATTTTAAAAGTATAGTTATTATTTTTATTAATATAAATAAATATTATATCTTTTATTTAATATTAATAATTTTAAAATTTTTATATTTAGTTACTTTTAATAAGTAAATTTAAATCTTCCTTTTAATAATCTTTTAAAACCCTTTTTAAAGTACCTTTAAAAATATCTTTTAAAATTAAAGTTTAAACTATATATATTTTTAATTTATTTTAAAGTATTAAATTAAATTATAATTATATTTAAAAAGTATATTTATAAATTTAATAAAAAACTAAAAGGTTATAAAAGGTAAGTTTTAAAACTTTATTTTAATATTTTCTTTTAATATTTATTATTTTAATATTATTTTTAAAGGATTTTATTATTATTTCTATTTATTTAATTATAAAGTATAAAGTAATTTTAAAACTCTTTAGGTTAAGAATATTAAAGAGAAGTATATTATTAAAAGAGAAATAAAGTTTATAATATAATTATTAAATATAATATTTTTATTTAGATTATATTAATAGTATTATTTTTAATAAATTTATTAAAGATTATTTTAATAATAATTTAAATAAAAATAATTATTATATTTGTTATAATTAAGATAATAATATTTATATAAAAATCTTTAATATTTTAATTTTAATTATTTATTATTTATATACTTTTAAAAGGATTATAAATAATATAATATTTTTAATATTTATATTTTAAATTAAACTATTTTAATATAAAAGATTAATTATAAATTTTATATTAATAATATATATAATTACCTTTTATATATACTTATTAAAATAATAATTTTAAGTTTATAATTATTTTAACTTTTTATAAAGTTTATTAAAAGTATATTAATAAAATATTATTTTTAAATATTTTAATTAAATAGTAAATATTTAAAGGTTATAATTAAAATAATAATTTTAAAAAAATAGTTTTAAGAAAGATAGTTTTAATATTAACTTTTAGGATATTAATTTAGATATTAAAATTAATAAAAGTTATTAAAATTAACTTTAAGGAAAGTAATTTTAAGGATTTTAAGGATAATTTTATAATTTAATCTCTACTTTTAATATATTTTAAAAAGTAAATTAGTTAAGAAACTAATTTTAAAGCTTATTATTTAAAGGTTTATTTAAAATTTAAATTTAAGTATTTTTAATAAAATTAAATAATACTTTAATTAAAATACTATTTTAAAAGTAATTATAATAATTTATTATTTTAAAATAATCTTTTAAAAAGTAAGGTTAATAACTTTTATTTTAAAATATACTTTTAAAAATAATTATAATAATTTACTATTTTAAAATAACTTTATAATAAATATAATATATTATACTTTTAAAATATAATAAAAAACTTTATAAAAAAGGAATATACTATTTTAACTTTAAGTAAATTACTTTCCTTTAATATAAATTATAAGTTTATTTTTATTTATAAGTTTTATAAAGGTATTATTTAATTTAATTTTTATTATTATATTAATTAAATTATTATCTTTATAAATCTATTTAATTTTACTTATTTTTATTATTTATAAAATTAATATAATATTATAATATTAATTATTAAATATTTTTAACTATAGTTTTAAATTTAATTAAATATTTATATAATAATAAAGAGTTTATATAAATAATAAAAGGATTTTTAATAATAATAGTCTTAAAATAATAAAATTAAAAGTAGTTTTTAATATAATTTTAATATTAAATCTAATTACTTTTTATATATTTTTAATATTAAAATATTATAAATAACTTTTATACTTTATTAAACTTTAATAAATTAAATTAGTTTATAATTTAAAGTTATTATTATTTAACTTTTTATTTTTAAATATAATAATAAAATTAATTTATAAGTTTAAATTAATAATATTAATAAGTAACTTATTTATAAATATATATAATTTTAATATATTTATATTAAATAAAATATATTTTAGTTTTAATTAATATTATTAATTTATTATTATAAATAAATATTAAATTATTTATAATTATTTTTATAAAATTTTATTATAATTATATTATTATAAATAATATAAATAAAGTTTTAATTAAAATATTATTATAATTTATACTACTTTAATATATTATAATTTATATTTATTTTTAATTTTAATTTCTATATTATATAAGTTTAAATAATATATTTTATCTTTTAAATAAAGTTAATTATATTATTAAATTATATAATTTTATAATTATTAAAATTTAAATTATTTTTATAAATAAAGAATATAAGTTTTTAATTTTAACTTTATAATATATAATTAGTTATTATTTTTTAAAAATATTAAATTATAAAATATAAAAATAGTATTTATTTATATTTTAATATAATTAAAACTAATTATATTATTTATAATAATAAATAAATAAAGG